TTCCTAAATGCAGTTTATACAGGCTTCTTAAATGCAGCTTTCTAAAAAGCTGCCCTGTGCTGCTACCACACTCCTGCCACCTGTGTTTCATCATCAAGGAACATGTTAATGAAAGGTCCAACTCTTTGAAACTTGCAGAGTCAAGCCTTGCAACAGCAGAGATTTTCCTTTCAAAACCACACAATTTCAAGACTTGGAGGACTGGAGACGGCACTGAAGGCCTAAGCTCCCAGAAGAGTTCAGAAGTCAGAGGTGCTGTATCTCCACAGAAACATTAAAAAATGCTTAAATGGATTGCCATGAAACTACCAGCATCAGGAGGACAAACCTGGAAAGTTTCTGGCCCCTTTGGAGCATCATAAGCAGGAGACAGTCCAAGACTTACACTTTTTTTTATAATTTGTTCCGTAACTTAAAACCTGGTAGACATCATTTTAGATGTTGAACACAGTTTACATTTTCATGTGACTGACAAGTCTTCTGTTTTCAAGGGAAGACAGAAATAACTATTCTTGAAATGCTGAGTGAGTCCAGAGATTTGCAACTATTTTCAGAATTCCTTCTTCTTTAGGCTTCTCTACATCTGCTAAACAAAAATAGCTTCGAACTTCGGCTCTTGTACATTCACTCACTGAGCTCAGCTGAATAGCATATTAAAAGGACTTGTCCTTTGAAAAGAAGAAAAACAAACGATTTTTCAAATGCTTATACAGCAAGAAACATTTTTAATGTATTCTGTTACTATAATTAAGTTCAACTACTTTGCTAGTCTCCAAATTTACAGAAAGAAGCATCCAGAAATAGTCAGCACTGGATGAAATGTAATGATCTAATCAACATTTTTATCACCACATATAGAACAGAAGTGATGAAATTTCCAGTACTACACTGAAATAGCTCGTACAAAAGTGACTTGAGCCCAAGAGATTCTCCTGAGATGTTACTGTATGGGAGTTACTGCATTAAACATCATTTTTTAACTCATCACTAATTAAGAAGATCTGAGCTTGTATCCCATTATTTCACTGCTGAAGACCTCCAAGGAACCATATGTTCCTTCTTCCCCTTATATAGAATTTGCCAGGAAATGCTGCGTCTCTGAGTTTCTTTGGCCATATCCCTGTATTTGCCAGACTTCGGGGCATTTTCATCTGTGGGGATTTCCAGGACCAGGCACTTGCATCCACCTTGCCATTTCCCTGTTACCTGCACAGCACGTAGCAGGCATTTCCTAGAAACAGGCAGACCATGGATACCTGCACCATGATGCCTCAGAATCAAATTTCCTGCACAAATCGTACAACATATGTACAGCAGGCCAGCGCTTCCTGGGATTGCACTTACTGTGTACATGCTACACGCTGTGTATGCACAGTCTTTGCCTGTGGAGTCCAGATAAAAATACAGCAGTCCCATACCTGTATGGTGTAAATAAAACACATGTTCTCCAGTTATTTGCCTCTTCAAACTGAAATATCCTGGAGTCAGATTTATGGATGGAAAATATATTTGAATTTGGAAGTAATATGCAATTACACTAAGCTAAAATAGATGCTTTCGAGGGCAAAATGGGAGAGTGATTAGGAAAATGTAAACTCCCTTTTTCCTGTGTCATTGAAAATACGTCTCAACATTTTGGAAAGTGCTGTTACAGCTCGTATTTGGGAAATATTGTAGCCTAGCACATTTTATTCAGGGCTGGTACTCTCTGCTAAAAAAGGGGCTGTGTACTTCACCTCAGGGCAACTGAGTGGTATAGAATAGCCTAAGGTAGAAAAGTACAGTGAAAACATGACATGGAAGTTTCACTGAGGATCATAGTTGACGATTATTTTGGACACTACCTTGGTGTAGAAATAAAAGACTAGGCTTTACTGATTTTTATTTTTATTTTTTTAATTCAGATATCTCTTGTGCATATGTTGCTCTAAGATTCTTATCCTTCACAGTGAGAAGTTACTACAAAAGATGCACAAATCCCATTCAAATACTCGTGTGAATACTCCCTACACAGAAAGCTGGAAAGGAATTCTACCAAGTACCGGTAACTTTCATTGTTTATTGACTTTTCTCTCTTGTTTGGAGTTCAGTGTCATATGACAATATTTCCTTTTTTTTTTTTTTTCTTCCCCAGAAGTAAACAGAGAGAGTGACCTCATTCTGCATGCTCCTGACTTAGCCATAGTGAGATTGTCTGTGTAACAGCTGCATGGATTGATCTAAAAATCCTTCAACCTATTAAGTGCATTTGTACACTGCTCCTACGTAGTTGCTCCAAAATAACTGGAGAACTCTATAATGTTGTGATATACTTGAAGTTAAAATGGTGCTTTAAACACAATGGATTTTCTACTTTACGGCTGTAGGTAGAGCATTTTAAATCAGAGGATCGTCTTTAAAACAAGTTTTAAGGCCAGTTTTAATTCACAAGTGAAGTGTGTCAGCAATATTTGTTCTCACATGAAGGAAGGTAGCCTTTAAGTAGAACAGACTTGATTCAGTTTCTGTTTGCGAAATCCCTCACTGTGGATCAGCAGAAGTTGTGAGGGTGTAAAAACAGGCTCTTCTCCCCCAGATCTTGTATCCTTCCCTTAAGCTTCCTCTTCCCATAGCGAGCAGACTAGCTATATTTTTGATCCAGCCAAGCTAGGACAGTCTTAAAATTTTCATCCTAAAACAACACAGTATAGGTTTTGCAGGATTTTACGTACCCAAACCTCAGAAGGCCACTAAGGCGGCTGTTTACATGAATCCCTTCGTGCGTAATCTATTTTCCCACTGCTCAAAATATAGCTGATAGAAACACAACTTGTCATCCTGCTGAGCGACTGCCAGTGGGACTAAATGATGCGTACTGAAGGAAAAGGTTTGACCTGTAATGTTAATGGATATGTACCGTGCTCAGGGCACTGCTTGAAACTATGAACTCTGCGCATCTGTCCGGCTAAAAGTGACTGACCTTTCCACCTCCATCTCACCTACAACTGAGGGGTTGGTGGCATCCGACCACCATGCACAGAACAGGCTGTGGCCACTGTCCCCTTTGTATTGAGAACCACCCCAAAGCTCCTGCTCTGGAGGGACTGTTCTCCAAGAGAAAGGAGTAATGGGTGGGATGGGTGAAGTCGCCTGATGTTAAATCTGGGACGATTTGCAAAGGCTGATCAGGAAGTCTTATGACTGGGGTAATAGGGAAGTTTAAAAAGGACAGCTAAAACGCCCACATGTACTCATGTGGACTTCTCAAAGGGACACTGCTGCAAGAACAAGAATGCCACCAAGGAACCTTAAGTAAATGAGACGCTTCATTAACTCTGTTCGGGATTTTATTTTCTCCCCTGAAATAATCATGCACTCATTTAAATAAAGAGTACTTGTACCCAGAAACCTCGAGCAAAATCTCTCTCCAGGCCGCTCAGTGCCCCAACTTCCACAGGTCCCCAGAAATGGAGCCTCCCGGCCAGAAGTGCTGTCAGCACCAGGATTCAGGGACACCACTGAGGCCCAGAAGGAGATTTTAGGAACTAAGCTGTCAGAAGGAGCCTCCCTAATGTCCAAACTGGACGCCTGTGAAGTCTGCAGTACAGAGTAAGGTCAAAAGTTCTGTATCTGTGAAGCCTGTGGGCAACTTTCAGAAGCCAGATTTCAGCAGTTCTCAGAAGCATTCCCGTGCAGGTAGTGCTGCCTGTTGTGTGGCTGACAAAACAGAAGTTTGGGTTATAAACTCAGAGGGTCGTTAACAATATTTAGAGGCAAAGTCACAGGCAGGGTGCTGGGAGTGTCTGCAAAATTAGCAGAGCACAAAAACCTCTTAACTAAGGATGCCTTCAGCCACTAGGTGGTGTATCGATTCTGCCACTGACAGTTACTGAAGTAAATGATGTTTGAAAGCCGTTTGAGAGCTCAGATCTAATTATAGCTCAATTTGGCGTAACCCAGATCAAACTTGGTTAAACGAGCTGCTGGCAGACCCTGCCGAGCAGCTGTTTAAAATCTCCTTTTAGTGTGCTAGCCAGAGCGCAGATCAGAGCATTTCCCACCAGAATTAGGAACACTCTGCGCTGTAGCCGTTAGGCTGTGGAGACACCCTTACTGCTGCTCCCTTCCCTCAGTCATTTTACATTCTTGCTGCAAGATGGAGCAACTAGTGTCGGAGGGTCATGGGAATGCAAGGGTGGCACAGTCTCCTCATCTTCCACAAGTCGTAATTTTCCACCAGAAGTACTCCTCTTTTTTTTGATGGAATGAATGGTTTGGCAGAATACACGAAGGCACCTTATCCTAGGGGAGTGCTGCAGGGCTGAGGCACCTCTCAACTACTTTGTGTTGGGGTGGTCCACAGGAATAACAAGGACTCCCCAGAGGGCTGATGCTGACTGTGCTAAGCAGCTCCTTTCTCCACGCACAGCGTTTTGATGCACTCTGGGTTGTTTTATACCACACTGAGCTGGGCACTGACACTCATCCACCTTGGCTACCCCTTTATTCACCTTCCTCTTGACTATTTCAGGTACCTTAAAGGAGGCTGTAGCGAGGTGGGGGATGGTCTATTCTCCCACGTGCCTGGTGACAGGACGAGGGGGAATGGGCTAAAGTTGCGCCAGGGGAGTTTTAGGTTAGATGTTAGGAAGAACTTCTTTACTGAAAGGGTTGTTAGGCACTGGAACAGGCTGCCCAGGGAGGTGGTGGAGTCACCATCCCTGGAAGGTCTTCAAAAGACGTTTAGATGTAGAGCTTAGGGATATGGTTTAGTGGAGGACTGTTAGCGTTAGGTCAGAGGTTGGACTCGATGATCTTGAGGTCTCTTCCAACCTAGAAATTCTGTGATTCTGTGACTCTGTGATTCTATTTCGTGTACGACCCCTGCCGCCACCCCCTCCCCGCTTGCCGCCTCAGGCAGCGCCGCATCCCCCCACCGGCCGCCGCTCAGCGCCGGGCTCTCGCGAGAGGCGGGCGGGGCGTGGCGGTGACGTGGCGGGGCGCAGCCGCTCGCTGCCGGCCGGCGGCGGCCGTTCCCGGGCGGCGGGCGGGGCGGTTGGCGGCGGTTGGAGGCGTTGAGGGGAAGGGAGGGGAGGGGGGGACGCGGCGGCGATGATGGCGGCGGCGGCCGAGCTGGAGTCGTCGCTGGAGGTGAGCCTGCCGGGCAGCGGCAGCCTGCCCCCGGCGCGCTCCCGCATCTTCAAGATCATCGTCATCGGCGACTCCAACGTGGGCAAGACGTGCCTCACCTACCGCTTCTGCGCCGGCCGCTTCCCGCAGCGCACCGAGGCCACCATCGGCGTGGACTTCCGCGAGCGGGCCGTCACCATCGACGGCGAGCGCATCAAGGTAGCAGCGCAAAGATGCGGTGGCTCTGCGGAAAATAGTCAGGTGGCATCCCACCGAGGAGCCGAACAGCAGTGAGCTGCCGTGTGGCAGCCGGGCTTTGTAGCGTTCTGGTGGTTTGCTGCATGCGGTGCGGGGCTGGACGGTGACAGGCCGGGTGCTTGGCTCACGTTTCGTGGGTGTTTTGCTCTGATTACAGGGTTAGCTAAAGTTTGTTCGTACAAATCCAAATGCAGTGAAAATCTGGGGAGGGACATGAATGCGCTTTCACCTTCCTTGCACTTTAAAACATATTTTAAAAGTATATGAAACATACCTAGCTTGCCAGAGGGATGCGTAAGCACTACTTGTGATCCTAGCAGCTATTTGCAGATGGAACCACTGGTTGCTTACCAGCGCAGCTTGGCTGCTGGCAGTAACATCTCTTAAGCAAAATTCCCTTCTGTACGATAGTTTGCTTCTGTGATCAAAGTTTAGCAGATGCGTGGAAAAAAGGAGCAGCAGTAGTGATGGAATTGTACTTCTGCATATGTTATCACCAGGCTTTGGAATTACAGCTGACAGGCAGCTGAAAGCTATAGTTTTGCCTTGGTTACTCACTGCTTACAGATGTTGGAGAGGGGGAGGCTATCCATTTGTCCCCCACACTTGCCATTTCTTCCATTTGTCCATTTGCCTGTCTTCCCCTTTTTTTTTAACCCTATGTCCTTTTCAATTAAAAAAGAAGCACCAGTAAGAGTCTGTTACTCTTTGCCCTTATAAAACCATTGAATAACACTTCTTTGGCTTCTAGCTGATATTCTGCACTCTCTGCTCTGTTGCTATCCAGAGCAGAAGGGAACCTCATGAGGGACACCTTCCTCTCAGCAACATCTTCTTGCCTGGCATTTTTACCACCTCTGGACTGTGCCCACAATTCTGCAGGGAATTAAAATAAATAAATAAATAAAATGATTCACAGCTCCAAGATGCTTCACATTGGTTATTGTGCCATTTTGTTACATAGGTTGTGGGAGGTGGTTTTGCAGTGTTCTTGAGGAGAAGATGCTTTTCGGACTCCTGGTTTCCCTGGAAGTTTACTTTTAGCTTTAAAATAAATAAACTTCATCATTACGGCCAGGGCTGTAACTGTTGGGAGGATGCTACATGTCATTAGGCACACACCAATTTTTATTCTTTGCCACCTCTTCTTGCTCGTCTTTGCCTTTCTTTCTCATAGCATCTCCCCAGCAATGCCTGTTGAACCAGGAAAGAGAGGAGGTGAGATGAGCTGAATGGCTGCTGTTCTGGTTGTGCCCTGAAGGGCCAGGCCCTCAGAGCAGGGGAATTTTTCCTCGTGTTTTGAAAGAGAGTATTAATCGGTTTCTTCTCATTCCCTCTTCTCCCTTCCCCCAGCCAGCTGGATGGTCATTCTTGTGCTGCTACAGTACAGAGAGCGTTTCCCTTGCAGCTGGAAAAACGCTGTGTCATTGGCAGTAATACAAGCACAGTTCTTCTCGCCGGGGGTCTCCCACACAGTTTTTTAGAATTCAAGGCATAGGGACGAGTGTATTCCTGTGTAGCTTATACAGTAGGCTCACAGCTTCGTTTGAAACAGCAATGCCTAGATGTGAGGAATAGAATAAAATTTTCAACAAACACTGCATTCTGGATTTCCCTCTGCCTAAAATGACCTACACACTGAAAATCGAAGAAAACAATGATGTCACTCTTTACTGACCTACATTAAAGGAGCAAAGGATGCAGATGAAATTCAAAGAAGAAAGTCCAAACATCGTGTTCTGCTCTTTTGAGCTGTTGGCATTTTTTTTCCATCTTTTAAAGGAGGCATAGTTTATCATTTTGTTTTTATTAAAGGGCAGTTGTGTTTTTACCAGCATTTATAAGCCATGCACGCTAAGGGAGTCCTTGCGCAGAAAACAATCTTTCTTGGATCCACAAAAAGGAGTCAGAAGGTGGGAGGTGGTAGCTGGGTTGATGTATTTAATACCATTTGTCTTTCCTAGGGAGTGTGACAAAGTGGTTCTGTCCTCAGTTTTTATTAGTTGAATTAAGCTGTTAAACCAGATTTTCAAAGCCCATGTTTTAAAGGGCTGTTATAATAAGTGTGCCTCCTTGATGATGGATGGTATTTAAATAATCATGAAACAATAATCTTAATGTTAATTCATCAGTGCACATCTCTAAAAGTGATCCTTCCCAGTGTTTCTCAGTAGAGCAAATATTTTTGTGGAGGGGAGAGTGTGTCAGAAATGGGATAGTCTGCTCAAGTTCACCTGGTGAGAGGAACAAAGAAACTTCTGAAGTGTAAAACCTTCAGTGTTGGGAAAGTATTATTTGAGATGACACATTTCAAGTTTGAAAGCTGCATGGAAATAACATTTAGGAGGAGCTGTTGCTTCAGCTTAACTCGAAAGATATGTAAAGCTTTAATTTAATTTCCTCTTCTCTACCCAAGGCTGACAATAAGCTTGTGGATCTGTGCTTGACCGAAGCGTGACCGACTTCTGCTCTCTGAGTGAGGTGGGGAGAGAAGCATAACCTCAGAGTCTGCAGCTGCTTCTGAAAACAAACTGCCTCTTTACATTAGATTTGATATAATGTTCTGGGAGATTATATAGTGATTCCTCACCTTTTTGTTGTCTGACTATAAGCAACAACTCAGCCAGTGATTTTTTTTTTCTTTAATTTGTCATAGCCCAAATTAATGATTTTTTTTTCCCCCCATGAATCTCCTGACTTTATAATATTCTGGTAGTGCATAGTACTAGAATTATCTCTCAGCTGGGTAGGTGAATGAGTCTTACCCATAGGTGTAAATATAGGTGCCCATATTTAATCTAGTTCTCTAGGCTGCCTTTACATCTCTAGGCTGCCACAGAGATGCAGTCAGCTGTGTTCAGAGCACAACAGAGTTGGCAAAAAGGAGGTATTTGCTCTAGGATGATGTAACTTGCAGATGACTACCACTGTCTTCAGTCAGAGGCTAGGGTGCCTTGCCTTGCTTTTCTTCATAATCTTAATGACGCTTTTAGAAGCGGTACATGGATCTTATCAGTCTGTTGATCAGAAGCTGCAAATAACTGGACTAGACTACAGAGTCCAAGCTGTTCTATCGTTTTCATGTAAAGTTTCTGTTCCCCTGATCAAACCAGTAACTATCATTTCCACCAGTTCTGGTCTGAGGTTTTTCTTGAGCTTGGGTGACCAGAGTTGAACGTAATATTGCAGAAAAAGTCACACCATCCTGAAATATCACTTACTATTTTTCCTTCACACTAGTGATTCATAACATCCTGTGATTGACTCGTGTATGTGGATCATCATCCATTTTAGTCGTTTCCAAACGGATGAATCCTGCACTTTCAGGAGAAGTCTTTATCATTAGTCTGCGTTATCAAGGCTTTGCATCTCTTCCTGTTCAATTTCACCCTATTCCTACTATTCCAGATTATTTTTCTATATGGTACTGTAACTCACCTGTCTGTCAGGGATACATCTTAGCTTCTTGCCATTAGCAGGTTTCTCTAGCACCTTGTTTCCATTTTTTATGTCAAAGTCAGTAGTAAAAACTGTAAAGAAATCAACTTTCAAGACACTTAGAATTTCTGAGTAAGTTTTTACTGAAACATCTGGATCAAAGGTATGCAGAACTGTGTGCACGGGAGTTTTCATCAAGGGAAAATATTGGCCGTACCTTTCTGTGGTGGTTTTAGGAATAGATCTCAGTAGTGTTTGAGAGCATTTCACTTATTAATGGTTTTTGTCTGTAACACTGACTGAATAGGTTTTGAACAAATATGAGTTCAGTCTGTTTAGGATAGAATAGCGCATACTTGGAAATAACAATATCATGATAAACAGAAGTTTTGTGCTTTTTTTTTTTTCTTATGCATGGTTTATGCTACAAAGCACAGTATGGTCCTAGCTTATGTATTAAATAAGTTTGAAATTCATAGGAGAGTTTAATTCTAATAGGCTACAGAAACAGACTTCTTTGTCCTGTTTATTTTGTTTTCGTTGTTCGCGCATGATTTGATTTATTCCTACTTCTCATGAGTCTACCACAATACACAGTTAACTTCATGATAAGAACAATGCTTTGGGGAAGATGACATTATTTTTTTGGCAATAAAATATCATGTCAGCTGAGAGTTATGCTGTGAAGTATTTTGTTTTGTCAAAGAAAAGCATAACTGACAAGATTTCAGTATTTGTTTTTGTAAAAATCTTACAAAATACCTGCTTCAATAAACCTTCAGAAATTTGTACTTGTGTTCAAGCTGCATCTTAATTTCTTTGTAGCTTCAGTTGTGAGCAGGCGGGTTTGGAAGCAACAATTTCTGAAATTGCATAAAAGCAATAATTTTTTCAGCACAAACTTTTCAGTATGATTAATTCTGAAGAGCATTTTCCTGTAATTTCATGACTTTCCTAGCTATGGGTAATAGGTGTTATTTTCTAGCAAAAGTAATAAAACATTTTTTTCTCTTGTTCTTCCGTTTTCAGATCCAGCTATGGGATACGGCAGGCCAGGAGCGCTTCAGAAAGAGCATGGTGCAGCACTATTACAGGAACGTACACGCTGTCGTGTTTGTGTATGATATGACAAACATTGCCAGTTTTCACAGTCTGCCATCATGGATAGAAGAATGCAAACAACACCTCCTTGCCAACGATATACCACGGATTCTTGTTGGAAATAAATGTGACCTGAGAAGTGCTATTCAGGTACCTACGGACTTGGCCCAGAAGTTTGCTGATACTCACAGTATGCCGTTATTTGAAACCTCTGCCAAAAACCCCAATGACAATGACCATGTGGAGGCCATATTTATGACGCTGGCTCACAAGCTTAAAAGTCACAAGCCATTAATGCTTAGTCAACCCCCAGATCGTGATCAAATACATATAAAGCCTGAACCAAAACCTGCCATGACCTGCTGGTGTTAAATCTCGCTATTTATTAGCTCTCACCTTGTCTTGTTTGCAAATGCTCCAAAATTATGATCTTGACACAGATCCAGGGTTTGGTAGCAATTATAGGAAATCTTTTTGGCACTTTACTGTGTTTTTTTTTGTTGTTCTTTTGTTTGTTGTTTGTTTGTTTTTTTTTTTTTCTGGTGTAGATGTGCCCGTCTCATTTTCTTGCACTTTGTAGTCGTACTTTCTGAATTACTGAAGTTTCACTATAAATATACAGGAATGTAAACTTTCAAGTGAAGTATTGACAAAGCAATTCTTCTTGAGCTCTTGCTGCCTGAGATCGTTTTTGTCACTTGTGGTAAAGCTATATATAGTAAGACAGTTTACTAACACTTCTGGTTGCTACTTGCATTGGAATAATGTAGGAGGAAAAGTGTTTTGGGACAGCCGGATAGCCTGATTTTTTCAGGTCAGTGAGTGGAGAGATGGGGAGATTTTTAATGTCTGAAGGAATATTTGATGACTGCTAGCAAGCTGATAAGCAAATACCTACTTATTTAAAAAATAAACAAGCAACAGGACTGTCAGATAAAGTCTGGGCTTCAGTGTAAGTGCAAACTGCTGGCTTTCATGGCATGTCATTCCATTGTAAACTTTGTCTGTTTCTTCATGGCAGTGGTAAGAGAATCGACAAACTTGTCCCTACCTCTAGACAATTAACTGATAACTTAAAAGTCCATTAATTTTTCATAATTAACGTGTAAGACTAAACTATGCATTCCTTCATACAAAAAGTCCTTTAGCACAGGATATGGGGGAAAATCTGGGACTAGAACTACCCACAGCCTCTCTGGCCTTACCAAAACTTCAATATTCAGTGAGGACTGACTTCTAAGGATGCTGTGTTTGAGTTGTGTCCCAGTGTAACTGAAAACACTTAAGAAACTAAGAAATGGAGTGAGGTTGCCAGAAGTGTAACGGTTTGCAAAGATACATGTTTCAGAGGATGCTAGTGTTGATGCTTTTCAACTGTCTTGAGAAAAACACCATTTGACAAACCAACTTGATAACATTTTAAGGATGAAAATGCTTAGGACAGAATGTTACTTCTCATGCCCGTTTTGATGTACAAAGTTGTGCCTTATTTATTGAAAATGTCAAGGCCACCATAGTCTAATAATCTGTATTGTTCTGTGCTAGAATATGTGAAGGCTTCTGTGCAAAGGAACTACCAGCTTCCGTAACTGAAGGTCGATTTGCTTGCATAATGGTAAGACAGTATCATCCATTTAAAGAGTAGGGAATATGGGTTTTACTTTAAATACGTATCAATGCAAAATAAATTAGATTCTGAAATACAGAGAAAGTCTGCCAAATCTGTTACAGATTTTTGGCTCATGTCATGGCTGTAAGTTGGGCATCCGTGGCATTACTAATGTGAGTTAGTAATTGCTCTTCTAGACCCATTTTCTTCTGTGTTCTCATAATTGCAGCCATTTCATTCAGTTCTTTTCTGTGAAGGTCAAGTTTCATAGCAAAAATGGTGCTAGGTTGCACACAGCTACATAATGTGAAGTGTAATCCATAGAATTCAGTCTGTGACTTTGTATGCCACGATCAAACAATATTTTCTGACTTAATTTTTAAAGGAATTTAAGTAAAAACGAAGATTTTTGATTTGCAGTGTACTGGAAACTAAATATAAGCCCCAGTTTAGAAGTCACCATCCTAATGATTATTAGAAACAAAATACTGAAGCAAGCTAACTTTTGAACTATTAAAATTACTAAGGTCTAAATCCTATTGCAAGTGTTTTATAGATAAAGGGAAAAATGCATTGACTTTTTTTTTCTTCACACTTAGAAATAGCATTAAATTTGGCCTAATATGTTTAGGATGCTTAAAAATAATCTAAACAAAATATAATATTTTTTCCATATAAAGCTGCTACAACTATGACAGTAATTTTGTTTATGCAACAGTTGTTAAAGGGAATTTTTGTATTCACTCTGAACCTTTTATGACTAGAATTTTGATTTACAGTCCTTTCAGAAACAATCAGCTTTTTAACATGAGTTTCCTTAATATTTTTCTTTTTTTTAAAAAAGGATTGATCTTACACTTATGTGTATAATATTATAAATAAACATGGTTTACAGTCCTCTTGGACAATTTATTTTTCACTCACATTCTTACTCATTTTTCTCAAAAGTATCAATCTTAACTATTTGTATAGTACTAAGTATGTCAGCAAACTTTTTTTTTTTTCTAATAAAAAACAGAATGAAGAATTCCAAAGTCAGTCAGTCAGTCAGGTTGGGAGCTGAGGTAAGGAAATTATGTAGGTACAGTGTTAATGTTAAATTTGATATCAGACATCTGCAAATCTGTTAAGCTTTGAGTTATTCGCAACCTGTAAATAAGAGCCCTCATGTCATTAAAATTGTGTAAAGAAAATGTTTTAACTATGTAATCTTGTCTTCAGCGCATAGCATGTTTTAACGGTTCTGCCATAAAGGTAATGTGGTCATTGATTCAGGATTCAGTGTGCTTCCTGGCTTTCAGTAGTAATGTTCTGCCCACAGAATCGATGTCAAAAGTACCGACTACTTTGTATACATATTTTCACCTTACCAAATTGTAAAGTTGGGTTATTTTGTATGTGTTGGGGAGGGTAAGACACAATCCCAGAAACCTAATAAACTGGCTTTGCCACAAACTGTTATCACTTCTTTTCAGTAATTGTTCTAGGAATTATGATACCAATTCTTACAGTAAAATCCACAATAAACTGTGATAAGCAAGGGAGGTAAAAGGGTTCTTATTTTTTTGTATGTGTGGCTAACAATTTTTGTGAAAGACTGTCACAGTACTTGGACTACTGTCACTCCTCTCTTGCAAGGTCTCAAGAGTTGTTTCGGAGCATCTGAAACACCCACATGATGCTTCAGAGTGTGTTCTGGACTTATCCGAAGTTCTAGAAAACTGCCAATTACTGGCCCCTCAGTACACATCAAGACCCTTATGGAATCTTTGTCATTTCTCGTAGGCTTACCTCATTTCTCATAGTCTTAGCTTTCTGAATGAAAAAATGCTCTTAACTTCAGATACAGCTTAGTTCTTTCAAAAAATAGTCTTGCAGGCTTCCATAGATGTATGCAGACGCGCACACACAGCAAGGTTTCAATTCCAATTGATGTTAAGTGGGCTTCTTGGTAAATATCGTAGCCTGTTCGCCCAGATACATAAGAATATTCATACATCTTCGGTGTTATCTTGTACTATTTCACTATCTATGTTCTATCTATGAATTTATTCTATTTCCATACATAATAAAAAGTCTATTTAAAACAAAAAGCTAGAACACATTTTGGAGATGTTTTGCATCTTTCAATATGATTGGAGTTCTCACTGATCAGACTTAATTCTACTGAATGACTTTGAAAAAATGTATTTATTGAATGTATTTGCTCTATGCTTGTGGAGCAACGGAATGACCAGAAAGGACCTTGGTAGACAAACCATCAATGTGATTCAATGGTGAATCCTCACCTTAGATTGGCACTATATTCCATTACACTACTTGGGAAGAAAGCTACCTTCAAATTAGGAAGGCAGAAGAATGACATGCAAACTTTAAATGTGTCTTAGTATTCGTACATATGCTTACTTGCTGCACATTTGAGTTTTCTTGGTGTTTCCATTTCTCCTTTACTTCATTGTGAAGCTATGACCAAGAAGCATCAAAATACATGGTGCTTTTTTATGTGTACTGTAATCTCTCCCAATCAAAAAAAAAGCCAATCCCATAAAGGGTCTAAAGTACACATCCATCAAAGCATGTGAAAGCTGAAATAGCTCCACCCTTGTGTGGTGGTTTTACCCAGCTGGGCAGCTGAGTTCCACCACAACTGCTCTCTCACTCCCCCTCCTCAAAGGGAAAGGGGGAGAAAATGCATGGAAAAGGGCTCAAGGGTTGTGATAAGGACAGGAAGATCACTCAACAATTATCGTCATGGGCAACACTGACTCAGTATGGGGAGATTAATAGAATATATTACCTAGTCTAGCTACTAACGAGCTAGAGCAGTTAAAAAACCAAACAAACAAACAAACAAAAAACCAACTACAAATTATAAATGATAATAAAAAATATAAACACCTTCCCCGTATCCACCTTCTTCTCCCTCCTCTCTGAACAGCACAGAAGAACAGGGAATGGGGGCTGCGGTCAGTCCCTAACTCTTTGTCTCTGCCACTTCTTCACGGTCACTCTCTGCCTCTGCTCCACACGGGGTCCCTCCCAGGGGATGCCATCCTTCCCAAATTGAGCCTGTGGGGGCTGCCCACAGGCAGTAGCTCTTCAAGCACGGCTCCCACATGGCTCTGTACCCCTGCAGTCCCCTGCTACCAAAACCTTGCCATGTAAGCCCAATGAGCTTTGCCATTTTTCCCAGCTTTATAAAGCAATAATTAAAAAGACAATTTTCCAGCTGTGGTGAGAGAAGTTGAGAACATGCAATGAGCTATTGTCTTTCACTTTACTTCATCTCTGGCATGCCTTCACAATCTAAAAATTAATTAACATCTAATTTTGATTGACATGGTTAATATGGGAGTCCATAGAAGAACTTAGATAGAGCCAGTCCCTTCTTGGTGAATATTTTCACTTCCACAAGAAAATGGCAGTCTGGTTTTGTACGAAAATCAACATCCAACAGCAATGTAATATTAGATTTGTAGATAACATAAGAAATTGACATTACTGCAGGAAAACTTAAATGCTCATTCCAGTCTGGATCGTAGTTAACACTGAAGTCTGTTGAAGAGAGACCTGTAAGGAGAACAAGTGCCTGCATGTCATTTCTTCATGCTGCACTCACAAGAACTCTGGAGTTTGAGGTGGGGATGAGAAAAGGGAGTGTTTGTTTTTTTGTTTTGTTTTGTTTGTTTGTTTGTTTTGTTTTGTTGTTGTTGTTTTGGTTCACATTGCATGTCCAAAGGAAGACTTACTTATTCATATGGCTGAATGGAGTCATCAGTGAGGCCTGTGAAGCGACATTGATAGGGAAAGACTTGCTGCTGCTTTCAAGTGACCGCTTGGGATTCACTGAGATCTGTGCAGCCAGTCAGCTGCAAAATCAGAATCAAAGAGGCTGACGTGTGTTTCTGAAGGCAGCTCCTTGTAGTTTAGGAAGATACTCCCACAGCCCAAAGAAAGGCATGTAAAAGCAGCTGGAGATGCAGGGACTGAATGCAGTAACTGATGTCAATAATTGTGTTCAGTGCAGCTATTATCCACATGTATTATTTTCTGTCTGTGTTAAATCGCCTCTGGTTAAGGAGAATTTTGAATTGTAGAAAACTTATAATTTAAAATTAATGAAAAGCAAATTTCCCAGCAGTATCACTGCTCATTTAAAGAAACCTGTTATCCGCTTTGCTTCCATTCTATTCTTCTCACCCCTGGAAAACAACCCAGAATTGATGTAATCTGACAGAGGTACAGTGACAATCATTGAACGGAGACAGGCTGTTGCAACTCGGAGCTTGACAGCAAGAATGTCAACTGGAGTCTTAGGGTAAGCAGGTCTCTCTGGTAGCACCCATACATACTCTTTGTGTCTTGGTACCAGCAGAGACATTCCAGGTTTGGGCTGGGCTCCATTAGGACACCTGTACGGTGCCCCTAGCCATTGCAGCAGTTAGCAGGTCAGCCTGCCAGCAGCTCAGAATTTACCAAGAGTGCTGTGCTCGCCTCCAGCAATGTTTTTATTTGTTTTGATGCAGGTGGCACAATTTGCAGCTCACGTTACATCAGCTGCATGAAAGCTTGTATTGCCAATCGCAAACGTTCAAAAGAAGCAGCCTCATTTCTCTTTCCCTAATTTAATGATAAAGATTGGCTTTGAAATAAATGATCAATCTTAAATAAATAAATAAATAAATAAATAAATAAATAAATAAATAAATAAATAAAGTGGGGAGTATGTTTTAGATTCCTGTCTGTTTGCATTTTATTTTGAAACCAGTAGGGTGCATTTGGGTCTCATGTTCTCTGTTTCCATAAGGAGATGGATTTTGAAAACAGAGTTTGCTTACAAAATAAATAAATACACACACTAAAACCAACAGAATCTTCAGGTATTTACTTGATTCCAGAGAACTGAGGAAAAACAACTGTATTTAACAATACTGAAGAGCTCAAGGAGCCTCTCTCTCGTATCTACCCATCATAATCCACCTTACTATACAGCACCTTCACGTTAGGTCCTGTTTTAAAGCAAGTAACTGAGTTTTTAGCACTGCCCCTTGCCTATCTGCCAGGCTGTGCTTCAGGTGGAGGGGTGGTCTGATGTCTGTAAAAGCCTGGTCAACCCCACACACCCATGTAGGAAAAAAAAAAACACCAACTAATCCAGAGGGGGTTAGGTGTTGCTGTTCTTGCCTGTAGTTCTCAGTTGCTTTGCTTATTCCAGGAAGGGCACACAATGAAGAATAAGGTTAAACGTGCCCTAAAATGTGTGCAACAACTTCTACATTTACTTCAAGTTGATATTTTTAACCCACTCAGAAGTTGGAAGCAATAAAGGACTCCTGGCTTCAGCAGCTAACGATTCAGCTGTGCATAAAAAGAGCATTTGCTAATCAGAGGGGTTTTGAGTTCCTGTGTATGATTATTCATCCGCATCACTACCATGAAGTACTAACTTCAATGCCGAGCTGATATTTGAGTCACTGTGATGCTGCTGTGAAAAAGCACAGCGTTGGCAGCCCTTGTGATTGGCATGTATGCCTTGCAATGGCTGTGCTTTCCTCAGACTGCAGCAGCGTCTAAAGCTAGTTTCTAGAGTTTCTGCTCATATTAAACATCTATGTATGTGATTTTTATATATGACAATAATATATATTAGAGGCACAGGAGTGATTCCTGTCACCTTTTCCGCTGCACTGCTCTGTGGGCAGCTCAGAAAGGCTCCTAAAACTCCCCAGTGATGCAGCCGCCTGTACAAAGCCCGGCTCATGCCAGTGAGGGAGTGTGGCCATGGGCGTGGAGCTGGAAAACCAGGGGAAGGAACAGCCGAGAGGCAGTGCCTGATGCATGCGAGCTGATGGGTCATATTGTTTGAGGCTAAACCCCGCAGATACAGCAACTGAGTGATTAAAAAGTGTATTTAAAAGGATGTAGTGGATCAGAATATAAGTATGAAATATGATATATGACATATGGTATATGATATATTTAATAAGAACTTCAGTATGTTTTGTTTGTTTGTTTGTTTTTAATTAATACTAGCTATTAATGTCACGTTCATTGAAAAGACACACATTTCTGGAAGTATCCAAGTTGTAATTAAAAAACAAAAAAAAAAAGACACTACAACAATTCATAAAGGTACTCCACGAAATGCAAGTGAAACTGTGTAGATTTGGTGTGTGTTTCAATCAACCAGATTTACCTGAAGCGGTGCAGGACAAAGCAGTTGCTTTTTTTCTGGAAAACTATTAAGGAAGAGTAGGAAATGGTGTTTGATTTCATAGGCTTGCCCTGCTCATGTAAGAATTAAGACTAAGGACTTTTCCCCATACTTACACGCTGCTTGTACTGGAGAAGAAATCACTACAGTAAACCATACGGACTGAGTCCAAAAAGGGTATTCTGTGCTCTGGTAGTATTACCTGGTTTTCTGTTGTCTTTAAAAGCAAAGAAGATCAAACCTCCCTCCTTTCAAGTGCAGGCCAATGCCTCATTCTGTTTTCAGCATATCACTTTATTTTGATCGCTACTACTTCTGTGTTTTCCTGGCTCTTTAAAAGGTCTCTTTGGAAGTCTTCATTTGGCTAGTGGCTACCATTACATCTGCATGTATTACAGGTTAACAGAAAAGAAGGAAGCAATGAGCCAAGGAGATTCATGCAAGAAACTGCTTCAACAGAGCCACCGAGACCAAGCAAAGGCTTTGGTAAGAAAACTTCGATTTATTGAGCCAGATAATTGTTTTGCTGTAAACTAGTACCCTTGTGTAGTAAATGTATCAGACATTTTTCTCTAAGAAACAAGTAATATGTAATCCTGGAGTCATTTCCCTACCTGTAGTGAAGGCTGACTTGCATTTTCAGGTGCTCTACTGGTAGAACTGAGAGGTATATGGCTCTTGCAGTGCTGTGATTTTTGTCCTTTGGCTTCTCACTGGTTTTTGCCAGCCCAATGGAAACATCTTTGTGTCCGCTGTGGTGACTCCTTTCCACTGCCATGACCCTGAACTCTGGTAGATGTCCTCGTGGCAGGGGAGGACAAACAGCAGTGGAGCTGGCAAACTGTGAGCCTCAACCTGCACATTGCCGGCAAACTGTGCCCAGGGTGTTCCACATCGGTCTGAAACCTTTGGTTCTGTTTCTGCCTGAATATTTGTATTATTAAGTAAGGTCAAGGAAAAAAGTACATCATCACAACTGTCAGACAGCACCGTGTAAGCACTGGACTAGAAGAGTGGAAGTGAAGTTGAAAAAAAATCAAAACCCCAAAGCCACCAAGAAGGTAGTTGTCAGAAATGTGCCTGAAGCTGGTCTCTCATCCCCACGTTTCTGAGAAGGAAATGGCCTCAGCAAATACTTTGCTCTTAGTTGAACGTTAACTCGCAGGAACAGCTCCCCTGATTAACCTGCTGATTACACCGTCTGATTAGTGACGCCGTGCTGGTGGCGATGCTGGCATCCTTCAGCTGCAGAGCCCGGGCATCCTGCAGGCTTGTGCTGTGTGCTGGGGAATGAAGAAGCATTTTTGCTAAGCTTACCCAAGGTAGAAAAGCATTTCTAAATGTAAAAGTCATATCTTTAACAAATACAAACAATGCTACGTGAGGTGAGCATGACCTGCTTGATGGCTGTATGATTTTGCTGTGCAGGATGTGTAGCCAGGGAATGTGATGCCTTTCAAAGGAGTTTTCTACCATGCCCTAGAAAAGAGCTGGATGTTTGGACTCGGAGAGACATGAGGCACATTTGCACGTACCATTCTTCTCCAGAATGCCTTTAGTTACACTTCCCAGTGGTGGAAGCACAAGGTGCTTGCAAACAATGTGCAGCACCTGTGTGTGCAGGGAGTTTGAAGGCAGACCAGGCTGGGAGCTTAGCTGGGGCGCTGGACGTGTCCTTTTTTCCCCCAGGCTTTGCGCACGTTGTCCTGCCGGCGCTGTGCTGCGGTGCACCAGCTGTCAGCACCACTGCTGGATGCCAGGCCACATCCTGGCGTGTGTCTGCGCTTCCCTGCCCTCCCCACAGCAAAAAGGGCAGCCTTTAGGGGCGGGGAGGCAGCAGGGCAGCAGCTCCAGCTACTAGCGGCTTGCCAAGGGGAAAAAGCCTGTGGGGAATAATTGCCTCGAAGCCTTTCTGCTGGAGGTGTTGTGGATGTGTTTGTGTACAACAAAATCCATCTGACTTCCATCAGAGAAAGCTGGGGGTGAGGCAGTGCATGAAATGTCCCTGGAGAGCCTGCCAGGCTCTCGGGGGGAACCATAGCTCGCATGTGGAACGGGCTACTAAATATAGCACCGGGCTCCGCAATCACAAATAAATATATTTTCTGCAGTGCTAACCAATGAAATCGGTATACAGTTTGCACCGGTTTCCACTGTGCAGCCGTTTCTTTTCTAGCAGCTCTCCTTTTGTAGCAGAATCGTTGGCATTGTGTAGCTGTAAGGGATTCTAGGTGCCTTCATGCTGGCATGGTGACAGCAGTGCTGCAACTGCACCGTGGAAAGATCAGCAAAACCCATTTGAAAAAGAAGTATCCAGGCATCGAGAGCTTTATAGGTGCTGCTGCATCAATTGCAAATGTTTAGTTTAGAAGTAGGACAGACATACTGCTCTTTTACACACCCAACCTCCATGTATATGCTGAGAGGGCTGTTTCCAAGCCAAAGCAGCACCTCCTGCAAGGGCAGGGCTCTGCGGGGGGCATCCTGCCACTAAATGCCACCGCTCGGCTGCTTCCCGAGCAGAGCAGGAGGAGCAGCCAGCTCCTCGGTGTGTGTACCAGCGACGTGCCAGCAGAACCTGACTTGCCCCGGCCTTGCTCGCATCCTCCCCGCAGGCCCGGTGCTGCTTTCATAACCTCCTCGCTTCAGGAGTTACCGCTCAGAGCTGGTGAAAACATTTCTGGATTAGGGCAAGGACTGCTGAAGTTTATTCTTCGCATGCTTGCCATAAAATCGAATTAATTTCTCTGTTCAACCAGACTGCTGAACACCGGTGACTCACGCCAGGCATGCAGCACCCCATAGCCTAAGGCACAGTCACGGCCCAGTACCCCCAGCCAGGGCTGTAACTTCCACCCAGTGGCGGTGCAGTGGCTGAGCAGGGCGTTTAGCAACAAAATACTTCCAGCAAGTTACTCCCTCAGAGGCAAAAAATCTCTTTTAAACAAAAAAAGAATCAAAGCCAAACTGTGTTCAGGTGTTAGCAATCACAGTGACTCTCCCAGAGAGTGGTACTTCTCCTTAATGGATGAGAGCAGCAGTTTGTGTTAATCAAGGTGGCGAAAAGTCATCACAGGCTGTTTGGAGCCATGCCAGAAGCAGCTGAGGATGGGAAAAGGCATGCTCAGTGCTTTGATGCTTGCTGACAGGCACTGCACCACAGAATAAGGCACAGCACCGCTTTTTGCCTCATGTTGCCAATTACTATATTAAAGGCAAATAATGTTTTTAAAAAAAGTCAAATACAGGCAGGTTTAAGTTGAAAGTAGATTCCAACTAACTGGCCAATTACCTGTAGTTATTGTGTTTGGTGCTACCATTTTGTGAGTTTTTAATTGAATAGTTTTCCTCCAGCCCCTACAAATGCAAGTAGGAAAACCTCAGGCAGATAGAGGCTGGAAACATCATATGAAATCCTTTTTATCTGTGATCTCTAGATCCCTGGTTGCTGTTGGTTTTTTATTTTTATTTTCCTCATAGGTATTGCAATGCAGATGGACAACTGTATACGTACAAAGTTTAATTTTATTTAGCCCTGCTAGAGCAAACAGAAGCAGAGTTGCTGCTTTCTTCCCCAGAGCAGAGCTAATTTAGATGAGAGAGGAAGGAGCTGCAAACAGAGGTGCCAGCAGGCTTTGAGGCCACTGCTTCATCTCTGGAGCTCTGCTGCAGGCACCAGGCAGCTGGGAGGCTGCAGGCAGAGCGCCACCTCCCCAGGGTGGCTCCCACAGGGCCCCCATGTTTTTGTCAGGTAGCCAAAGGCAGGGGTACAGCACCCAGCCCTTTGGGACAGACATACAGCCAAGGCTTCGGAGACACGTGCCTCAGAGGCCCACATGGTGTCCTCCCACTTTCTCAAGAGGAGAACTTGCCTTCCCAGCCCTGCTCGGATGGATGTGCTGGACTAACCCCTGTGGCGGGATAAATGATCCACCACTTCATGTTCAATGCCTGCAGGTGAGGTGTTTGTTCAACAGGCGCATCTAAGCCTATCTGGAAATGAACCATAAAGCACGGAGGGGAATTTTATGCACCTCAGGAGCCAGTGCAAGTTGACTGGGAGCTGTAGGTGGTTCAAACAGAGGACCTTGAACCTGAACTATAACACAATTTAGCAGAACACGCCCCAAAATAACCATTTTTTAAAAAAACTTTCAGTCTCCACTGTCAAAATAGAGAAACTCCAAACTGAATTCAAAGTAGGTAAGTTACTCTGTAAGAGGAGCTACTGCAACTATTGTACTTCAAGCACTCATCACTAAATCTAACTGTACGTAGACATGAACACACCCCAGAAACACCGTTTTGACAGAGGTGTCCGAATGACATTGGCAAAGCTTCATACCGTTAACTTTACGTGCCCCAGCCTCCCAAGAGAAAGGAAAAGTATGCAGAAGCTGAATAATGAACTGGATCCGTCATGACAGATAATTCAATGGGGGAGGAAGAGAAGATAAGGGTGGGGGGAACACTCCAAAACCAGTTTCTTTAAAAATTAATAGTATTTAATATTTGAATGCATCAGGCTAGCACTGCTAGACAAATTGCATGATGAATTCTAGAGGAATAAAACATGAATTAAGTACAAAAGCTGGAGGAAAAAAGCTCATGCTTTCCAGAGACAATGAGGTATTTTAACTATGTAAAGTCTGAACATCCAAAAATATCTGTAGTCATTTGCACTGGGATCTTTGCTGACCACTGGGCAGTCAATAGTTCTTTCTGTGGGTGCTTTTTAAAAGGCCCAGGGAAAGTGCACAGCCGTCTTGAGGATGAAGAACTTCTCACATCCATCTTGCTACACATTTAGACTAGTAGCTTGAAAATGTTCTATCACTTTTTCAAGTCATTCTGATGTATGGTGGAGGTTTGGATGTGTCTTCCTCTGTGTCAACGTCCTGGACTGGAAACCGATCTGGGAAATTGAAAATTCTGTCTCCCGGACCTGTGTGGGTAAGGAAAGAAGAAATCATTAAACCTGCTATTGACTCTTGCACAAAATCCTGAGTTCTTTTGGCTCAGAGTACTTTGGTTATCAGGATGTTGGCTTGTGATGTAAAGCTTATTCAGCATGTTCCTTCCATACCCCTGGTGAACATCCAAATACACGGATGGGAAGAGTTACTCACTTTGTACAGCGCAAACCATCTCCAGAGCCTGATTCTGGTCCTCATTAGGTTGCAACCATTCCTACGAATGAAATAATACCATTAAAAAAGACATTTTGTGAGCTTGTTCAAGAAGATAAACCTGAACACATTTAAAATGCCTATGTAGTTCACTCCTTTCAACAAGTTTTAGCTTGAAAGTTTAAAGCAGCCTTGCCTTACACACTTGCAAACACTTGGCTGCCTTGCAAATAAGATGTACCAATGAAGTTCTTATCAAGTAAGATGGCCAGATATTTGTGCTTTAATACAGCATCAGAATTATTCTAGTACAGAAGCAGCTGGTATTCACTGAGCTCACTTGGCAGAGAAGCAGCGTGTGCATCATGAGTTGAGGCAGATTTCACAAAGGTTGACAGTAAAACAGGGTTCCCTACAGATACGTGCACACTACGCTTCATACACGGTACTTGGGACATTCTTACTACTGAATTTGTAGTTCTAGGGATGAGGCATCTTGGTTTGTGAGTACCAGCAAGTCTTTGAAATGCTGTACCATGGAGCAATCGTTGGTTTACAGGGGAGAGCAGGAACTCAAAGGCAATGGCACCACAGTAGCTTCATCACCAATGTTTTAGAAAATGAAGATAACTTATGCTAGGTCTGACACAACACTATAAATAAGAAGGTGGAAGTAAAAGGAAAAAATAGAAATCTGTAAAATCCCTCTAACATCCCCTTCATTTCATAGAATTAGCACTGGATGACTGGGGTAAAGCCAAAATAGGGTTTGTAGAACAACGCATCTCCTCAGTTTCTTCCCCTACCACCCACATTCAGTGCAAATGAATCGGTGCTCCCAGACTCCTCACTCACCATTCCAGTTACGCTATCATAGCACGCGCAGCACGGAAGACTTCGGCATCCCAAGTAAGCAATAATCGTCACGACGACAGTACTGCAGATCGATGCAACGAGCATCGTGATGCTAGCACCCTTGACAACTTTGCTAAGTACGAACTTCTGCAAGCAAAAAAAGGAAATGTTCAAGCCACGTTCAAAAAGTGAACCAAAAATACCCTAATTACTGCAAGAGTGCTATGATTATATGTTAGGACATTGATTTAAAGTCAGTGTTATTTAAAGCTTTTCTTCCTGTGCGCTGAAGAGCAAGCCAAGTGTGAGCCCCGAATGGGAAAAGAGCAAGCAGTAAGGTAAGGGTTCTTACTAAGTTTAAGACATCATGCAAACGCATTGGGTTTGGAAATAGCTGTGCTCTGGCTTTAACAATGAGTAGAAATCCAAGGAACGGCTGCTCCTCCTCTTCACACTAAATAGGAAATACATCTTGCTACATTGCACCTCACCAGCCTGTTTGACTTTGTCCTGCAATAAAGTAGTGAACACTTTCATCTACCTCGGAGGTATTCATACACACAGGAAGTCATGGTTTGCATAAGATTTGAGGTATAAAAGGGCTAACTCATTCCTTTTCCATTTACTCGTGGGATATTCTTGAAACAACACCTGGATTTAATCAGCTGATGTGTAATTGCTGTAACTTTATCACCTGAAAGGCAGGCTGGAAGGGACTCAGGAGCCTAGCAAGCGCTGCCTCAGGGCAGGCCAGGGATACGTTCACCGACTGTCCCTTTCCACGATGGGTACCGTGATTCTTTTCCTAGAACAAGCCCAGCCTGTTGGGTGCAGCCCCTGCAGTTAACCTGGCTTCACCACTTCCAGGCTCATACCTGGACGGCACATGGTGGGAAGCGATACGAGCATGCGTGGTGGCAGGCTGGCCTGTCCTGCTCCACAGCGATGGGCACAGGCGGTACTTACCGTGCGGATAACGTGGGCTGGGTGGGAGCTTAGGTCCTCCTCTTCCCCATAGCCCAGCGTCAGGGAGCCATAAGCTATCACAATGAGGATGGCAACACAAGAGATTATAGACGCAGCTATCAGCACGTTCACCTGTATAAGGAAATTAAAGGAGAGTAAGAAGGCAGGAAGGAATTTAAACTATCCTCTAGAAAATTAAATTCATTACTGCAAACAAAAGGTATTAATTAATGAGTGACAGGTACCAGCCTTTGACCTCCCATAACACAAAGTATCCAGTAGCAACAGGCAGGTGGAAGCCACAGGCAGTGCGATAAATGTTTCCATGATACTGAACTGCTGAGATACAACTGAGCCCAAATCTGGCCCACAGGTGCAAGCTGGGCTGAAATACTTTGTTCTTAGGGTCCTCTTACTAAGAAACAATATCCCCCTTTTGGGCTTACAGGGACAGAGGAACTATCTAGGAAATGCAAGTCACTTAACTCGCTTCCTATCTTGGTGTACACAGCCCTTAATACCAGGAAGCAGTACCAGGATGGCTGGCTTTTCCAAAGCCACCATTTCTACAGGTGTTTGTCTATTAGAAGCCATAGCTCAGTGTTATGCATTAGAAAGTGAAGTAACACTGAAGCCTCATTTTGCTTAACAATGTTGCCTTTTCTATGAAGACAACTCACAGCAATAAAGCTCTCCATCTTGTAGAAGAACCAGCTAGTTCTTTTCCTACCTAAAGAGCTTTCAATTGCCCCCGACCACGTTTTGCCCCTGCCCCCCTCCCCACAAAGCCCCAAAGCTTACGAGAATGGGGTTCTTTCTCTGAGAGGAAAACAAAGCCAGGACGCCCGGGACTCCCATGACCTGCAGACCAGAAAAGGAGTTGGTAACTGGACGACACGTATCAGATTCTGAAGATAAAGTGCCACAGAACAGATGGAAGGCCCTCGTTTTCAAGGCTGGGACCAGAGGAGCTGTCAGATCACAAACAGAAAGAGGGAAGAGAGTTGCTGATCTACTGCGTTTAACCTCTGAGGCATCTGCTGGAGGCTAGGAGCAGCGGCAGGATGCTGGGCTGCATGAGACGTGTCTTACACACCAGCTGCACCCACGGCAGCAATCCTGGGAGCGGCCTCACATAACAGAGCTGAGCCCGTGCTGCCTTCCCAAGCCATCACGCAGCTTGCAGAGGGACGAAAGCTTTCGCTGGAGGAAGGCCGGCAGGCTCAGGATGGGAGTGTGTGCTTCGGTAGCACTGCCTTGGGGTGGCGGATCACCGGGATGTAAGGAGTTGGGGTGCAGGACCCCAGTGGGTGCAGGACCCCAGTGCCCCGCTGTGGGACACGGAGCAGCACCAGGAGATGGAGGAGACCTCAGTGCTGAGCACGCGCTCCCCTCCTAACCTTCATCGGCCTCTGCGGTCACTGGGCTTCTGCAGGAAGGCCTGGCCATTGCCACGACGCCCCATTTTCTGCACTACCTGGTAGAAACCGGTGTCACCGAGCCCCTGGAGCGGGGCGGCAGGAGGAGGAAGCTGGCGCTACCTGGGCTCGGAGCAGGAAGCCAGGAGCCAGCAGCAGCGGCCCCGGCCTGCCCCACCCCAGGCAGCAGCGGGGGAAAAGAGCAGCTGAAGGAAGGGAAGGGGCGCAGCCTCACCATGCCGGCCCACACCGGGGCTCTGGTCCTGCCCAGCGCGGACTCGGTCCTGAAGACGCCGTCCACGAAGCCGCTGACGACGCAGAGGGCGCTGAGCGCCAGCTGCAGCAGCCCCAGCGGCACCATGGGGCGCTGCCAGAACACCAGGTACCGGTACCGATCCCCGGAGCGCCGGCACCGAGACATGGCCCCCCCCGGGACCGGCCGGGCCGGGGCACGCAGCGCCCGCACGGCCCCGGCACCGCAGGCTCCGCCCCGGGACACGGCCCCGCGGGGAGGCGGGGGACGGGACGGGGACGGGGGCGAGGCCGGGCTCGGAGCCGCCCCCGAGCCCTGAGGTAACCCGGGAGGAGAGGAGAAACCCCCAGAGAAAGCCCCAGAGAAAGAGGCAGGGAGGCGGCCGTTCTCTTGAATAGTTTAATATCTGCATTGCCTTCGTAGCGCAATTAAAGCGATCTTTAAAATTCACTTATTACAAATGTTTGTCAAGTCTATTTTGTTTATTTTTTTTTTCCCCAGAAACTTTTTTGTTTTGTTTTGTTTTTTTCTTGCTTCCTTGCACATACACCCAAACACACTATAAAAACCTCATTCATAACATCAAAGGAAGGGCAATCACCATTCATGTAAACATCTTTCTTAGAGTTATCCATTTTTGAAAAGTCATGAATAAACCTCCAGATGTTCAGTAAGGCTCATAGTTCGAGTACAAATGTCATAAAACACCTATCAAGTACTGTATACAAGTTAAATACTCCGGGGTTAACTGCTAACGCGTGGATAAGCTCACCCCAAGGATTATTCTGTAGCACTTAGTTCCTCAGAACAGAGACACCCACGAAGTATGGGCTAAAGAGTATTAAAACAGCAGAAGGCCCAGCAGAAACTGTTGAGTAACACACAAGTTTAGTCTGGATCTTAGCTCAGGAGTGAAGTTGGGTACAGTTACAGTAGGAAAAGGAGGAGGAAACCGCGGGAAGGAGGGATGGGTCCGCCCGTACGACACCACCGAGGGCCAAGCTGGGAGGTATGTCCTGAAGATGTGACTGGCCTTGCTATTGCAATGATTTATGACAGCCGTGGGTAACGCTGCATAAATACCTTCCCAAATAGCAGAAACGACCATTTGCAATTATAATTTGCAATAGTTTGTTGCATCTCCCCTTTAAAAAAAACTACTTATTGGTAACCAATTACACTTGCATCTTACAAAAAGACATCCTTTTAAATTTGGTTTAGATCTTAGTGGATTTTTTTTTTTAAATATTCATTCTACCATGAAAATATTTCATACAAACATCATTTTACATACAAATATGTTAAAACTTGTGAAGAGGGTCTTCCCACACTCATGATTTTATGGCTTGAACATTTAATTGCTTTGAACTTTTGTATATATAATTCTCCTGGAAACAAACAGAAAAACAGTAGTTACAGTAGAACTGGCAGAGAGAGAGGGCAGGAGCTTCAATTGCCTGAAGACAGAAGAGCGCCAAGAGGAGGGTCCATTCAACAGATAGTGACCTTAGTGTTCAAAACCTTTGATCTGGGGCAAGTAAACATGCACTCAATCTTGCACCTTTTTAGAAAAAAAAAAATAAAACCAAAAGAAAATTCTTTATAAGACTGCTTAGAAACTCTTCTTCCAAAAATATAGTTCCCGTGTTTCCAGTACACAAAGCAAAAAGAACAAGTTCTCCCAGGGGGGCACAGGTGAGCACGAAGCCCACGTAGATCCACAGGTGAAGCTGCTCCCACGCCTGCGCTCCTCACCCAAATACTCTCAGCATATGACAACGTGATGTAAGCGAGGAGGCGGCGTATAATGCAGCATCCCAGCATGTAAGGAGACACTTCAGCAACATTGTTTTCAAAGCAATTTTTTTTTTTTTTTAAGTGCTTGGAGGTGAGTTCCTCAGACACCTACAGCTTCAGAAATTCTGTTGTGTGAGAGGAAATCAAAGCAGCAGATAACCAGCTCTGTACAACTCATTACCTCGTCACAACTGAAGCATTTTCCAAAGTACTGTCGATTCAAATAAAAGGATAAAAATCAGAGAGGCCTCTGGGACAGAAACGATGCTGTACAGTTCCTGGCACAACCGAAGTGGTGAGCCCTGCTTTCCACTGCAGGACAGGTGCGACGGGGACAACCCACCTGCAGCCAGGCCCCGCGGTGGCTTAGAGCCAGGGGAAGGAAACAGACAAGTGAGGATCTGCACCACTTCTCGGTTTCTTGTACCAGCCATTGGCTGCTCTGCTCCTTGAGCACCTAGCAGAGGGCGAGAAATCCTGACGGGTGCTCTCGCTTCCACGCCAGCCAAGAATTACAACAGCCCTGAGAAAGAAACTACAGCCACTGCTGGCTGTGTGCAACACTAAGAGCTCCGCGTCTGAAAAGGCTCAGCTAAAGAGTCGGCTATCGAGTCGCTCCCGAAACAAGCAGCCTTGCAAGGGCACACAACAGGCCTCCCAAGTGGCCAAAACCTGTGCGAGTCACCCATTGCCATGCTTGAGCTGCATGTATACAAAAGCAAGGGCCATCCAACAGGTGTTGTCTCAACTGCAGGAAAAGTCAAAGAGCTACCTGAGCTATCACTCTGACAGCTGAAGCTCCACATAACCACGGACTTCTTTGACTCTTCCATCAGTCAGGACTTCATTTCTGTAGGATAAGGTGGCTTTTTTTTTTTTATTAGTAGCAAAAGAAGTTGAAAAAAACTTTTTCAGATTTGTGAAGGAAAATTAGGTGTTTTTGTAGATCCCAGAGAGTCACATTATAGCAGCAGACTCGGCATGAGATCCCCTTCTCTATGCCTAAGCCCTTTTCCCTCTTACCCAGAGGCACTGACCCAGCAGCAGGTAGCTCTCAGCTGTAACTTCCCATGCTCTCAGTCTCCAAAATTAACTGCTTCTAAAACTAGGCTTCTCTATTCCTGGTGAGAAAACACAGTGCTGCCATAGCAGGGAGATCGATTTAAGCTTTCTTTTCAGAGAGACAGTCAACAGCCTCTAACACAGGCTGATACGGGCTCCTTCTCAAAAAGGTGCTCCACTAACAACCCTGCCATTACACTGAAGCCATCTGCAGTCCTGCAGGCCAAGGGTGGAAGTTGGGAACTGACATGTACCTGAAAAAAGCAGCAACTTCAAGTTCTCTCATGTCTTCCCCAAAAGGGTACAGGAAAGACCCAGCTGGCCACCCAGGTTCAGCTGACAGGTATCAGCTCTTCTTCCAATCTCTGTTCCAACAGGAAAGGCCCTGGGCCAGCCCCAGCGAAGCAGAGCTGCTTCACTTACTGCATTTTCACTGTCAGCAGCATTCAGCAAGCTCAAAAAGATCGCTTTGCAAAATGACAATTTTGTCTGCTCCAAATTAAGATCCAAGTTTTGGGGTGGGTCTCACGTTACTACCTGATAAGTAGTTTTACTAAGCTGGTCTCGCTGCCTAGAGAGCCCCAGAAGCCGAGCTGCAGAACACACTGACCAAGTTAAGGCATTACTCGGAGTTACGTAGTTAACCTGTGTTTAAACCTGTGGCTGCCAACGCACACCTTCCCAAAAACCTCTGAAGGACCCGCTGAGCTCTGAGCCCTTTCACTGTCCTGTGGTAAAAACCATCCCAACTGTCTCCGCTCTAACAGACCACAAAGAGAAACAAAACACAGAAGAATTAAAAGGCTTGGTCCTGAATCAAGCCTAAGCAGCTTCATAACCACAACTTTTATAGGTTGGTCACTGAAGAAGGGGTCTATAGGAGGACCAGAAGATTTTAACAGAGCAGAGAGAAAAAGGACAGTAGAGCTAACACGGACAAAAGCTGCTGCAAACTAGCAGGCTACAAATGCAAGAGCATCTGCCTGACTGCAGCCAAATTAGTGGCTTTTGAGAACACACCGAGGACACCTGAGTGCCTTGATTCTAGGAATTCCCTATTTTAGAATGCAATCACCGAACTCGATGTGCAAAGAGCACCCCGTCTTCTACTTCTCTCTAAAATCACACAATATGAAGGCAGACAAATCTATTAAAATTAGCGAGTCTACGTGAAGAGGAGAAGAGAGGAATCAGAGCCCGATCAGGAACAAAGCCAGAGGAGCTTGAGGGATCGGAACATTTTAAGCACAGCTCTCCAGCTGGCACGAAGAGGTGAGCAGCCCGGAGTGGGTTGTTGAGAAGGAAAGCAGGTTAATGTGGAAGGAGTTACTGCCCAACCAGCTGCATTCAGCCACGCATCTTCCCTCTCCTCTTCCTCGCACTTAAACACGAGCCTAACTTTTTAGATGTCACGGCTGTGGAAGAATAATCCACGAGACACACACAACAGCTTCCTGCCAGAGACATGCCTTTCTGCAAATGGCTGAAACAGCCTACTGACCTAAAATAATAACCTGTGGGCAGGCAGAGAAAGAGCAAAACACACACATTTCCTTCTGGGGTTGATTTGCTGAAGCTGTGCTGACAATTGGCTTTTGCCAAGTCTCCCTCACCTGGAGGCCCAGTCCTGTCTCCCTGCACGCTCAGCTGAGTCCTCGAGACATCACCTCTGCCAGCCACCTGCCTTGGACCAGAAGTGGAGCTGTGGCACAAGTCGCCAGCACAAGAAGGGCTGTGTCGCAGCGCACTCTCAGATCACTGCTGGAAGAGAGTCAAAGAGCCCCGAGCCTAGCTGAACCCCAGCACACGTACAGAGTTGCTTTTGTGAGAGCTTAAACAGTAAAGTGCTGAAAAAGCTTTGTGAGCAGTCAGAGGAACTAAGCAGAACCCCACGCCCAGGAGGGCTGCATGTACAATTCCTAGCTTTGTACACGTGCCAAAGCAAAGACCCTCGGGCTGCACAAAGCAGCAGCCTCCTCCTTCCACCTCCAGGTACCACATCCAGCTCCCCTGACAGCCAGGCACCTCCAGCCAGTTCAAGCAACCAAGCTAGTGTGTTGCAATAGAAAGGTAGGTCTAATCTCCAAATTGTTTATGTTACATATATACAAACAGTTCTAACTACAAACATTTAAAGAAAGTGTTGCAAATGCATCTGAGTTGTTCCTAAGCTGCTAAACCCAAAAGAGAGGGTCGTAGACCCAAAGGGGCTCCAGTATCCAGACTGAAACGATACATTATCTCTCTCTTCTACAGCATTAGGCAAGACCAGTACAGTATCCAGAAAAATGAACAACTCTCCTATCCCTGAAAAACCCCAGAACACAACCCTGCAGATGAATATTCACAAGCCCCCACTGTTGGCTGTAACAAAGCTATGGATTGACTGCTGTTTCTAAATACGAGCAGTGAGTGATGTTTTTACATTCATTGTTTGTCTTCCAAAAACAATCTTCTCTTTTATTTAAATCTTATTTTGACATCTCGTACTGTATTAATTCACTGTGTCTTAAGCTAGTACTGCTAAAAGACTGCTACGAGGCTATATTCTTTGTCAGCTGAACACACAGAAAAGATACAGCGCTCCGTAACCCAGTACTGCAGCCTGCCCTCGAATACACGCACTTCCTCTAGGAGCACCCACATGAGACACAAGCGTCTCACTGCTAAAATTTCTACCTCAACAACTGGTGAAATACGTACACCAACTCGCGGACACTAATGCAGTTCAAGTGTCTGCCTTCCAGAACACCTACTTCTGAAAGTCCTTCAACAAGTAAATCTGTTTTCTCCCTTCGGAAAGTCTTCATGCAAAGAACAGCTTCATTTGCGTGTCATAATCATAAATTAAATAAAATAAGCCAGCCATAAAGGCTAGATAAATATTAGGTTTGGACATGTTGCTATACTATTTAGAGAGCCACAGAGACCAACACACAGCACTCTCACATACACACACAAGCCTTTCCACTAGTTAGAAAGGATTTTCTCCTGCAAAAGAGGATTTGTAGAAAGAACAACGTTCAGACAAGAGGAAAGGGGAGTTAAAACCCAGCCTCCTATATGCTAATAAACTGCTCTATTGCAAGATTCAGATCAAAGGTTTAAAAAGGCAAAATTATGCTACTATTAGAGAATATCAAAATATTACTGTTATCATCACAAGTGGCATATATGCAAAATGCAGTTGCACAATAATGCCTAGGCAGATAGAGAGCAACACTAAGTCTGCCGACTAAAAGTGAACGATATACCCATTTTAGTTTTCTGTCTAGTCTTTTGGCATCTTTGCATATGGTGCAAAAGCAGAAGCTACCAAAGAATATCACGTCTTGTATAGAATATTAAATAATTTCTCCAGATAAGACTGGTGCAACGCTAGCTAATTTTAAATCTGCTATGAGTAACACAGTCAAACCTAGTTAGTATGCAAGAAACTTATCTCTTAACACAGAATGCAAAGTTATGATGCAACAGCATGAACAATCCCTGGTTGTCCAGTTTTCAGTAGAAAGGTAGTGCATAGATCCGAGTTTCTATTTGAGTTTGCTGAGCTGAGGAGGAGCTCCCGCTTCACTTTTGCTGGGCAGCCTGGAAAGCTTTCAGTTCCAGCTGGTACCACTCGGGTGCTTCTGGCCCGTTCTGTCCCACGGGGTTGTGATCGTATCCGTAAGCCACCGTGAGCTCCTCGTCCTTCTCCACAGCCCTGATGGTACGGATACACTTGATTGGCCCAAAACGAGGGTGAACAAACCTAGACAGAGAACAAACACTTTCGCTAGGCTCAGCGGTCAATTCACAGACTCGGTTAGCCCCTTTCACAAATGTCACTCACAGCTGAGTGTAACTGTCATGTACTCTGATGTTAGATGAGCAGATTTCTTCAAGTCAACCTTAAAAAGGCTTCAGTAATGAGGACACATATTTATCAAAACAGCTTTACATAGCTGTATTGCTTGAAGCTTTCCAAAAGTCCTACAACACTGCTCGCTTGGAATAAATTAAAAGTTGATCACTGCCACATGCCTTGGGCTTGCAGTGATAAATAGCTGGATAACTAGGAGAATGCTATAGATTATGTGAGACCAGAGAGCAGGGAAAAATTGCTCATCTTAATTTTCCCAGTACAGGTTAGCTGCCAGTCATAATACACCTCTGTGAATCTTCTCCCAGGGCCCAACAGTAAAGGAAACCAACTTATTTAATAAAGGAAAACTGTTTTCTAGTTAGGTACGCACAGGTCTGTCCATTCATACATTGGTATGAAAATATTTACATCCTTGAGTATTTGCATATATGAGAAGTTTCCTAGTGCCCTGCACCAACTCTAAAGCAGCAAGATGCTTATTTTTCATGTTTTGGACAAGACAGCAACATCTGATGGTGTTGCTTCTGCAACAGGCTTCTGCAGTTCAGCAAATATGGTTCAGAGTCTGACTAGGACTTAGAGAGCAGTGCTTGTGCATGTCAGAACCAACAGGCAGCTCTTGAAATTCATCACAAAGGTAGTACAGTTGCAAACTTGAATCTACCCCATGGGGTTAGTTTGAAAAGACAACATGCATCCACAGTGCCAACTCAGCAGGAGAGCATGAACTTGAGCATGGGGACCCACTACTCCCAGCCCCACAGCTGCCCTGAAGCACCCTACAAACCCAGACTGCAGGCTGCAGCACAGCCTTGCGGCCTTGCTTCAGAACAGATGACTACTTACGGGTCATAGATGCAGTTCGGAGTGAAAGAATGGTTGGCCTTATGCCCCAGCGAGGCACAGTACTTGGCGGCGTGGTTGTAGGGCTCTGGCACGTCTATCACTGTCTCGTCGTCCAGGGATATTGTGTTTCCATTGAGGGCCCAGTCTCTGCTGTCTACCTGGTTTGCAAGGCAAAAATCCAGTGTGTGTGGGGAGGGGTCAACTTGGCCAGCAGTTTGAAAGCAAATGTGTTCAAATATAAGCAACTAAAGCTTTTCCTGTGTATAAGGGTGGGCATTTTTGGTGGTGATTTTTTTTTAAAGTAAACAAAGATCAACATTCATTTTCTTTCAATTAAATTCCATCCTATTAAAACTTAAGGGTAGGAAGGGGAGTGGGTGTAAAATCCTACAATAAGATTTCCGAAGGAGCAATGAAAATTCAGACTGATTTTCTTTCCTTTACCTCCTGGTGTGTAATTCGCACTCCATTGTAAAAGGACATAACTGTACTAGCTTCTGCTGCTATTTTCGAAAATAATCCTTCTCCAGCACTGGAAATGAGAGAGACATCAACATACACCCTAAAAGGGAAAAACAACATGAATTAGTGACTGTGTAAAGGTTTCATTTTCAAGAAGCAACATCACAACACTAATGGCATAAAGGCTAAGAACTCAATATAATAAGAAAACTAATAATTCATAACCTCCGAATGCAATCCCTTCACCTTCCTCTCTTGCAGACACTGTCTCTATTTTGGAGAAATGGAGGTTTGGTGGTAAACAGGGACAGTCTTTATTTATCAGTCTGAAAACTACTTTTTTGAAACTGCATTTGCAGGTTATTATTACTCACTTAGGGCTTTACCTCAGGAACACCCTCAGTAATATCAGAACCCTGGACTAAGCCGAGGTTGCTGGTGTGCACATGCACAGATCAGTATTCTACTGAGGAAGAGTTTTCAAGGTGGAATCCCTCTATCTTCAAGTACCTGAACCAAGCAAATGCCCGCATTTTGCTGATCACTTGTTTAGATATTTTGGAGCATCAGAAAAAGACTACAGCTGAGAGTCCTACACAGCAAGGCCTCTGAAGCTTAGGTAAAAAGTAAATTATGCGATATACTGTGTGCTAGCCGCAGAAGAAGTAAAGGAGTGTCACCAACTGACTGGCATGAGACAATCTGCTGAGGAACATATCCTGTGAGGAATATGAGCTGTAACATTACAGGAGTGTTAGAAGAACCTCTCCAGCTTGATGATTTACTCTTGGTGCTTTGCTGCGTCTAGAGGGAGGGCAGCAAACCTTGCAACGCATGCAGTGAGATACACTGAGCGCAGCACACAGCAACCTGAAGCTAGTTATGGATCTAGGGTGTCAACAGTGCACTTTATTGTTCAGAATGTCACAGATGTGGGCTGTTAGTGGAGTCCAGGTACTGTACTGAACATGCGTTTGAAATGCTAAAGAGATCCTGCTTTAACCTGTTAAACACACATGGCTGCATTCTACCCACTGGAGTGCAACTTTATTGTGTAAATCAAAGAAATTCAAGTCACATTTACTGATGTATAATAATGGATTCCACATAAAACCTTAAACAATTTTTATTTTAAATGAGGAAAAGGCTTGTAAAATCAGGGCCTAAATATGCTACAGCAAAGAAGTATTGACAGCATCAAAAGTGGGCAGAAGAAAAAAAATGCCTACCTCTCTGACTCATACGGATCAGGAAGAAGTGCATTTGTAGAAATGCAGGATGAAGTAGATTTGTCAAAACTGTACACCGGGCCTAGAAAGAGAAATCAAAATAAATAAACTAATGGGCAACCTTAAATGCAATCAAGGCATTAAAAAATTAAGTTTTAATGTCTGCAAGAAATGTCATGCTTCAAAAAAAAGGGTATTATATAGAACTGCACTTACAAAAGGACTTCTGCGAGATTACATTTCTTGATTACCTGTCTCCCCTCAACATGCCAGAGTAGCAGTATATTAATCACAACAAGAGGATGCATCGTCTTTAAACTACCAAGTTTTAAAGGTCAGGACAGTCTTCCAAAACTGACCCTTCCCAGAGTCTTTCATTAAAACGTAAAAGAAAATTTAAAAAGGATATACTAAATAAATAACACATTAAGTCTAAAAAATGCTGGACTATTTCATATATGAAATGTTTTCTAGCTCAAAACCAGAATAGACTTCAGCCAGAAGATAATGTTCAGTAATCACAAAGTACATTTGCTACAGTCATTTATTTCCTGCCATTAATAAGCAACTCAGTGGTACAGCTCTAATTATACCCTTACATCTCTCTCCAATCAACTATTGTGCCAGAGGACTATCTGGGAGATAGGTTAAGATGCAGGTGGAAATAAGGAGAAAAACAACCCAGAATACTAAGGATTGATAAAAGACCATTGTCCACAGCATCCAAGTTCTAAAAACAGATCTGCTGGCTGAAGGCAGCTTCACACAGAGTGCAACTGAATCCTATTTACAAAGCACAACTGTGCCTTCTCAATTTGTTTTTAGGTTAAAATTTGATTTGCTGTCACATCTGAGAGGTTGCGATAAGAAAATAAAAGGTCACAGGCATTCCCTCACTTGCCATCCTCTTTCACTGGGTTTTATTTCATACTGAGGGAGACGATCCTTGGTGGCAGCACAGTCAGTATTACAGCACGGTTCTTGTTTACATTCACAGCCCTGTCCACAGCTCAGCCCTCTCACCCCCAAAACACCACTTATGCATCAGAGCAACAAAACCACCCCAGAACTACAGCCCCAACTCGCCACTGCCCCGCAGAGGGAGCACGGCGTGGGCACAGGCATCACCCTGACCCTAACCTTTTCAGTAGCCTCTTTGTGTCAGCAGGACCAGGCAGGCTGAAGGGTGCTGGTGAGTCAGGTTGTTATACAACTACTGAATCTAGTTCACTAATGCCAGTCCCCGCGTCCTTTCAGCACAATAACACAGAGAGCAAAACATCCACAGCAGCGACGCTGCTTGCACTAGCTTGACAGAGCTACAACCAGACCACAACCCCCGTTCTCCACTCCCAATTATTTCACTAACGAGACAAAGCTGGCAGCTGTGCCAGCATTAACACCCTTACGCAGGTTTTCACGCTGACCCAGATGGCAACGGTGAGCGCGACAAGTAGGACTGTGCCCCTCAGCCTGCCAGAGAAGGGTTACGAAATGCAATTCAGCAGCACCACCACATGGGTCACTTCCCATTTGTTTGCAGAGCAAACAAATCTCTCCCCACGCTCGTGCTCTTCTGTCCAACTTTATAGTTTAGAAAGAGGGCTTCTCACTAACACGCCTACTCTCTCATCACAGCCAGCGCTGGTTAATACTATATAGACCAAGCCATCTGCAGTAAATGGCTCCAATACAAGGAAGAACATAAGTTTGTGTGTTAGCTGGACTTACTGCCTGGTACTACTTCAAATTGAGGTTTCCCATCCTCTACAGATGTCAGAGTTGCCAGTTTTGCTTCTATCATTTCCCCATCTATGAACCTTCCAGAATACGCAGTCTTTCCATCAGGATAGACGTAGGCTATTTTCTCTCCGGTCATCTCTCCTTCTTCATTCACCTCTCCCACAAGGCTGCCTCCATCCTGAAAGCATGGACAAAAAAGAAAAGGCAGAGTATTGAGTTATTTTTCCTGACTTTTTAAAGAAGCAACCTCAATGACAGTAAGTTCAGACGTGAGTTTGTGACAAGGAGTAAGAAAGAGTGACATGAAGAAACTGGATAAAGCCTAATTCCAGTCAGGATAAAACCAATGCAAGGAAATTAACTGGCTTTTCCACATAGTGTGACACAGCCAAAACACAAGGTCTTTCCTTCTGTGTGACACAAGTCTTGAGCTTTGATTCACAAAAATTTGATGTGAATTGTTTGTGAATCAACGCCCAAGTTAATGCATACACAGAAAAAAAACAAACACCTATAAAGCCAGTAGTACCATTGTTGCCTTAAGTAGCATATCAAAAAATTCTCCAGGGTTTTCCAGAGGAATACCCAAGGTTTTAACCAAGAATCAGAAAGACCTAACCTTGCTGGGTTCATGAACAGACTCCCCCCACTCAGAGGCACAATTCTCACACCAGTTCCACCTCATCTGTTGTGCCAAGGCAGACGCCACAAGACGCCCTGCAGAAGCAGACAAGGTCTCCTCTCCCTGCTAACCAGGAGCAATAGCTTGCATGGCTCCTGTGCTCTTTACCTGCAGTCAGCACTACAAAGTGGCAGGATCACTGTCCCGGCCTTCCTGAGGAGGTGCATGGAAATGCACTTCCAAGGGGCTGGGTTCCCAGGAACATGAAAATGATAAATGCACGTCACAGCCTTACCGTATCCTGCCTGCTGGACAAACATTCAACGCTCAAAAGGTTTGGCTGTGTCTCGGATTATCCAAAACCAGAATGCACAAATATTCCACCCGTATTTTTGTGTGCTAACCTTTGGATAGCTGGCTCTTGGTGGATATTTGTTTCAGCCATGGAAAAAAGAGGGATGCATATGGGTACTGTTCTGCAGTAAAAGAGCAGGAGGTCAGGCTTACCGGGTAATATATCCAACAAACTCCATGTCGAATGTTGTCCTTATACTGCCCTTTGAATATCAGTCTCCCGTCACTGTCATACTCCTGGGCTGGCCCATTCAGCTCCCCATCCACATACGTGCCATGAAGGACTACTCCGTCCTCGTAGGTGTAGATTCCCTGGCCTTGCAGGGCATCATCAACGTAGTACCCTTCCAGGGTGCTGGTAAAAAGAGAAAGAAAACAGCAGTGGAAGACTATTCCCCAATCCAAGAAGGAGGCATAACACAGCCCTGCGTCTGACGCTGTCCTTTCACCAGGGTGCAGTGTGTGTACACAGACCTCTTCACCTCAATTGCACTGCTGAGCTGCTTCCTTAACAGGCTGAGGTAGCAAATTAAAGCAACAAACAGACTGCTCGTGGTCAAAGAAATTATCGCTACGGAAAGCTGCCCTCACCTGAGGGTTCGCTGCCTCCTGTGTTTGGATCTTTGGTGACATCTCTGGTAAGATGAAATGGCTCTGCCACACAGGTGGACAGTAACAGAGCACAAACTGCAGCCTGCCACCGCTCCGAAGCTAGTTCCCTAGCAATATGCTTAGCAGCAGACTGTGCTGGGTTTGCTGAAAGCACTGTCATTTTTCCATGCACTTCTACTGAAGTGGAGCACAGCCTGTCAAACAGAACCAGTGCGGCACTTGATTTGAACAAAGACACACTGATTTCACTCTGGTTTTGTCTTGCAACCCCTTTAGAAGGGATGCCGTAATACTCTCACATTCTGCCTTGTTGCCCAGCTTCAAAAGGCTGTTGATGGAAACCACAAAGAATGAAAGCTTAACTGAGCACAGTCTCCTTTACAGGTACTTCTTTCTCAGGTTAGAGCCAGCGTAAGGAAATACAAACTGCCTGGCTTTTACCCCAGCATGTTTAGCTAACAGCCAGCCGCAGCACACGCACTGTCATTGCATAATTCTGTTTCTGATGCAGGCATCTGTGGTATAAGCCCGAAGTTTGCCTGGGAGCACAAGACTCTACACGTCCTACAAAACATTGTCGAGGGCTGGGGAAGGAACGTTTTCTCAGAAGTAACTTCCTAGTTTCTAAAACCTCACTCTTTGTTTTCACAAAATTTTGGCAATCTGGTTGAGGTTTCCATGGGAACACACACGACAATAGAAGGACGTAAGTTACTCGTGTCAGACACTGTTTAGAAACAAGAGTTCAGGTTTGGTTTTATGCAGCTGCCTTCACAGCAACGCCGTTCCAGCCAGCTCCCTTCCCCACGCTGCACGCCGTGCCCCAGCAGACAACACAAACCAGACGCAGAGGGGACGGGGCAGGAAAGCTGCTTTACTTCTCAGTTGGATGAATTTCCTGATGCTGGTTGCTACAGATGTGTGCAGACAGCTCCTGCAGCAGAGCACGGGGAAGGAGCGGAGCAGATGAGAACCACCAGAAATCCGTGTGCTTATCTGGCTGCAAACGACACGGCTTTCTCCTCGGGTTTATCACAGGTCACCAGCTTTGAAATTCACCGTAGCTGGCAACACGCATGGAGTCCACATTTCAGATCATTCTTTAAAAGAAGTCACTCCCAGTTTCCATAATGAAATAAAACAACCTTCTTGTTAGCTTTAATCGCATTAGCTGAACTATTAAATTACAACGCTTCTTCAGAAATGCAAAGAAAATACTTCTTTTTTTTTTTTTTTTGACTGTAACTCAGATCTCGCTGCCAGGCCTAGCGTGGATCTGGAATATCCACTACCTAGAGAGTAAACCTGTGATAAATGCTGGGGGGACACACAGTGCACTATGCTTCCAGGTACTGAGTTACATCAACAGGCCCTGACCCATTTACACACCCTTCCTCGTATATGGCAATATTGAAAACTTTCTTAAAAATAATACCCCTCTCTATTGCTATCCAGGAGCTGTTACTTTATGAGAGCTTCCAGTTAACAGAGAACAGCAGCTGCAGCTCAGTGCAAAGCACAACTCTCACACAGAGCTACTGTGCAAAGTGTTTGGTAAAGGGCTCTCCAGCAAGCATAAGCACCAGTGAAAGTTCACGTATGAGAACCAAAGGAGGGAGTGTGCCAGAGGTGAAACTTCTCTCTGAAACAATACGCTGGGTTTTGTTGCATTTTTGAAGGGGGAGAAAGAAAACAACTGATACTCTAGTCCAGGTTTTCATTCCCGTAAATAGTCAACAGGAGGAAAATCACTACTCTGAAAAAAAGGGAGACGTTTGAACTGAGGCAAACAAGGTAAACAGGCAGCTGATGCTATTTCCCAACACTTGACAAATGAAAACAATTCTTGCCATTCCGGCGTCTGATAGGACTCAACCATCCCCAAACAACAGACCTACTGCAGTTAGCTCTCAGCCTTTACCGGCAGGCTCGTGAGCGAAATAACCCACAATGGAAACAGACCCAGGCAACGTGAAACCAACCAACTGACTGCACTGAGGCACACAATACCGCAGGGCAGAGATGTTTTGAGAAATTTTTGGAATTCAGTTCTCTTCGTAAGACTTCTTCACAAACACTCAGCCTTGCTCAAGGCACGGTTAATGGAAACAGCACGTCCTGCTTTGTGCCAAGTCATTCCTCCTTCAGCATACCTGAGCCATCCACTCCTGAGCGCACCTTACTCTCGCCGTGTGGGCAGAGCTAGGTAAGGTGCAATGTTTTTACTAACAGCAGCGACTGCTTGGTTAAGGCTGCTTTAGCTAAATTAAAATAAACATAGGCCAGTTTATAAAAATATCCCATTTTCCAAAACCATATTACAGACTATTTTTGTGTATTTTCATTTTGTTAGTTCCTGAAGTCATACAGTAGCCAACTGTTCCATTTTTTTTTTTAGGGGTTATGTAAATGAAAAAAAAAGGAAGAATTGGCAACGCTGAAGAGGTACAGAAAAGGCTCAGCACAGGCAGCAGCCCGAGTTTTCCCACAGAGCACTGCCTGTACCCTGGCTTACTTGGAGGAGCAGCTCTACAAACAAAATAGTGGGTCAGTTTCTCTAACTGTACAATCAGCGACTGCTCTGCTGAGATCATCAACAAGCACAGAAGCGTTATGTACATGTGTCCATAGAGACCTTGTCTGCCAACTTGAAAAAAAAAAAAAACACGCTGTTTTACAGAGGTCAGCTGCTGGGCAGTAGTGATTTTCAGCTACTTGCACAAGATTTAATAAGCCCATTACCAACAACAGTGGGGATTTTTCTTCATCCAGGCTCGGAGGCCTGAGCAGTTCCTGCATAACTGAATAAAATATTATCCTTCTCATGAAAAAAAACAACACTATCTCCTGTATGAAGCAACTGCAAAGGCAAATACAGACAAGGAGCTGACTCACTGAGCCAGCACAATACCTCCGCTCCTGCTCAGAAGTTCGCTGAGCAGGGGGAGAGCAGACCCGGCACGACTGTCAGTTTAACAGCTGCTATTCATAGTGCCACCGACAGCTGCAAAACCACGAAGAATCGTGTCATTTTATACATCTGCTGCTCCTTTGGAGGCAGTTCTGAGCAACTGCAGGGAGAAACGCTGCCAGTGGGGGAAGACACACAAGGTGTTCATAACGAAGACTTCAGAAAACACACGCACAGGCACGAACTAGCCCGATTTCACTGCCACTGTGAAGAGGCTGGAAATTATAGGGGCTTTTCTGGAGATAAATCAGGCCACAACCATGCAACATGCAAAGGATTAAGTAGAGTGGAGAAAACAGCAGTGTTTAACTTGGTCCCTTTAACCACTAAACAATTTCTAAGAGAGGCCCTACACCTATTTGTGGGCCTGGCAGGGCCACAAATCCTCTGTGCAGGGCTACGAGGCACACAAAGAAGCCCACTTGTACTTATGGACTTGAACTCTGCAGCCCAAGCAGCTGCCAGAATGTTTTCTCAATAGCTTTGAGCACATCCCAGTTCTTAAGGTCTCTAATTAGTTGACAACTTTACAGCACTCAGACCGCTCACAAGGCTGCTCTCTCCCACGAGGAAACAACTCTGGGCTTCGTGTTATGTACACAGCTCCAGGCCCACAAAGGCACCCTGTCAGCACTCTGCACACCGCAGCAGCAAAGGAAACTTTACAACTACAGCTTTTAATGAGAAAGCCTGTTTGGAAACCCAAGCATATGAGGAATATAGATTACTTTCAAAGCACGGTAAGCAGGAGGCAGGAAATAGAAGGAAATCAGAGTCGGTGTCTACCTTCCATCAAAAAAGAAGAACTTGCCACGGCCGTTCTTTTCTCCATGCACAAAGTTTCCCTCAAATCTGTCTGTCGATGAGTAGGTGACTGTACAGAATCCATGTGGCAGCCCATCGTCATCTAGATGCCCTGAAATAAAACCCAGACAAAGAACAAAGAAACACGTTAAACTTTACAGACATTTTCAATTCTGTTCTGACTGCGTGCATGCTTGAAATATTGTAGCTCCCTAGGAGAAAATTGTAATCCTCATCAAACCACTTCTGTTAGGAAAAATATTCAGAAATTGGTACAGCCAACACTACACTTAAAAAATAAAAAGGGTTAGGATACAAGAAAGCAGATGAGAAACATGAGAGAGGAGAAGCAGTGGAAAAAATAGAAGTGTTTCTACATGAAATAAGGTTCGTACTACTGTAGCTTGTCTTAATCTATGGTTTCAAAAATACAGTAATTATCTGAAATGTGTATTTCCTGCGAGAACGGAATAGACTTACACTTCAACCCACTGAGCAAGGCAAGCATTTATTTATTTATTTTTAACAATAAATACACGTCTTTCAACAATGTGGGTGTGCCACCTCGTAGCTATATCCGCAGGAATTTAAAGAAATAAAGGCATGTAATCTTCGCAGAACTATGCACTCAGGATATGTCAGTCGATTTGCTATTTCGTTTTGAAAATGCCTCTTTCCAAAGCCTTTCTGGTGTGTTCGGGCTATGTCCCTGGCCGTATCGGTTTTCCCCGTTACAGCTGTTGCACATGGGGACAGCAGACGGGTGACACGCTCAGACCCTCACCGGCACGGGTCTGTGTTTCGCAGAACACGAGCGTCCAGCTCGGATGAAGCCCGAGCAGAACGAAGCTCACCCTGCAGCTCCTGCTGCTCCTTCAGAGCCAAAGGAGAAGGCGAGCGGGGCGCTTTGAGGATCTCTGCTTTGCAATTTACCTGTGTGCAGCCCTCGGCTCTGGCTGCAGAACAGAGATGCTGAGGCTCAGCAGGCAGCAACCACAGCCCGGGCTGCCCCCGACCCCGGGAGGCGCCCCCAGCACCCCCCAGCCGGAGCAGGCGGGGGGCGATGCCGGTGCCGGTGCCGGTGCCGGAGCCGCCATGTGCCGGTTGCATAAGCCGCCTGATGTCATGCGGCACCCGCACCCCCCCCCGCGTCCCTCCCGGTCCCCTCCCGGTCCCCTCCTGGCCCCGCGGGCACCTTCCACGGTCTCCTCCAGCGTCTCCTCGTCGCTGTCCATGGCGGGGCGCGGGGCGCGGGGCGCAGGGCGCGGGGCGCGGGCGGGGCGCAGCCGCGGAAGCACGGCCCGGGGCGCGCCGCCGCCGCCCCGCCTCTCCCCGCGGGGGCGCGCACAGCGACGCCGCTGAGGGGCGGGGAGAGCGCGGGGACGCGCGCGGCGGGGAGAGGGAGGAGAGGGGCTGAGGGCGGGGACAGGCAGGGGGAAAGGGAGCGGAGCGAACCCAGACCCGAAATAAACAAACCCGAACCGAACCCGAACAAACCCCAACCAACAGAACTAAGCCCTGACCAAACCCCAACCCGAACCGAAACCAGCCAAATTGAACCCAAACACAAACCAAACCCAAAACAAACCGAACCCAACCCAATCCAAACCCCAAATGAACTGAACCATACCCCAACCAACCCAACACCAAAACAAACCAAACCCAAACCAACCAAACCAAACCCTAACCAACGAAACCAAGCCCAAATCAGCCAAACCCAACTCCAAACTAAACAAGCCCAAACGAAACCAAACACAAAACAAATCCAACCCCAACCAATCAAACCCAAACCAAACCCAAATCCAAACCAATCAAACCCAAACGATCACAACCAAAACCCAAACCAGCCAAACCAAACCCAAACCCAAACTAAATCCAAACCAAACCCAAATCAACCCCAAACCAACCCAAACCCAAACCAAGTCCAAGTCTAACCCAAACCCAAACCAACCCAAACCCAACCCCAAACGAAATCCAAATCAAACCCAAACCCAAACCCAAACCAACCCAAACCCAAACTAAATCCAAATCAAACCCAAACCCAACCCAGCCCATCCAGCCTGACACCCTCGGGGCACTCAGTGTTGTGAAACGCCACCCAGGCCCCTCAGAGCGCCTCTCCCAGCACACACCCCCCAGGTCACCCCAAAGCCGGCCCTCCTGTGGGCCCACAGGACACCCAGTGCTGTGACACCCCTGGCCCACAGTGACACCGCTCTTTTCTCTCTGGTCCTTGACACGGAGAGATTTAGTTGCCAGAACATAAATGCTCCCAGGTTTGGGGTTTGCAGGATGGGTGACAACATCTGTAGGGTGTCAGTGTTCCCAAAGCTCTGGGCCCGGCCTGGAGCCTTCATGGCCGGGTGTGACGGTCAGGGACGACACCACAGTAGGAAAGCAGGACAGTGGCAGCTTGGTGAGGGCGAATAATTAGGTATGTCTGCAGAAAGAGGGTTTGGAAATCCTTAAACGGGAGATTAATGAGGTTAGCATTTGACCTAATTGACACGAGAACTTACAAACTATTAATCTCAAGAGCTTCGGAGAGGATTTGAGAAGTGCAGGAAGCTCGAGGAGCAGCGAGTGGCTTGCTTTTGCATCGCAGGTGGTTCACTTAAGGCAGCGATGGTCAGTTTTGCTGTTTAGGCGAGAGAATTAAAGCCAGGATACTTGAAACAATTGTGATCTTCACCCACCAAACAGGAAACCGAGGCAACTGATGTGCCTTAGCTCTTGGCACAGCCGGTGAGCAGAAAGAGGACGAGGCGGTGTGCCCGGTGCAGGAACAGGTGGGAGCCTTGTGGCTGGGAGGCAGCTGGTGTTCGGGGGTACAGCAGAAGCCAAGGAAAAGAGCCCTGCTGCCAGCTACCTGCACAAACAGCACGGTAGTGTACTTAGGGTCTGCAGCCTACCTGCAGGAGGTGTGGGACGACAGTGTCCCTACTAAACACATACCCTCTTCCCCTACCTGCTGTCCAAAAATCACACGGTAAAAACACTGAGGTGGACAAGCTCTCCAGATGTAAGGAATACCCATCCAATTCAGCGTGCCCCGCTCTGTGTACACGCGTCTCCCATCTTTAATTACACAACCACATACTGCTTTTCCCGAGGGGCCGTGCCCTGCTGCATGATTACAGCGCTGCCTTTTCCCCCGCTCCTTTCCCAGGCAGCTTCAGGCCTTGCTTAGTCTATTCACCACCCAACAGCTTTGCTGCATGCAAAGGTACCAGTTTTCTTGTGAGAGCTTCCCCCGCACTAATAAACTTTCCTGCAGCAGAGCCGTGGCACTAGGCTGTTACCATTTCTGCTGCAGGAGAGCAAAGAGAACTGGGCTAAAACTGTTAAAGTGTCCACTAACTAACTATTAAGCACCGGACTGTTGTGAAGGGCTCTCAGCATTACACAGCATTTCACGTGTTCAGAGCTTTACTCCCAAAATGGAGCGTTTGAGTTTGGGAGAGCAGCAACACTGTTTTAACATAACGTCATCCGTCTGCAGATGAGACTGCGGCCGCCAAAGTGTCACAGTGACGCTGAGCTGTGCTCCTAAGCCACAGAACTAATGACTGTCACCCCTGGGGGGAGGCAGTGGGGTGGGGAGGAGTTTTGTAAAGGGGCCTCGAAGCCACTTGCTGAGAGCAGCAAGAGGAATGCAGAGATTTGAGGAGGGCTTGGAAGGAAGCATTTTTTCTTGATTTAAAATCTCCACTCATCCTCTTCACTGCCCTCCCTCACTTCCTTAGGGCCTCTTCCCTCTTTCTCCTGTCTCTTTTCCCTTCCCCCAGCACTGAGCCCCTCCAGCTGCCTCCCAGCCCACCGCTGCCCCTGTTCCCTGCCAGGCTGCCCTTTCTGCCTCACAACCCAAGCAGGGCTCAGGTACAGCCTCAGTGACAAATGCTTCGTGTCATCTCTAAGTAGGACGAGCTTTATTAAGAGAGAAAAGGGAATGACCACTTCCCAAAAACACTTGGATTGCTGAAAGGAGAAATAACCCTAACAACACTCCAGGCTGTTGCTTGTTCAGGCTGCAATGCTACGTGTTCATGAGATACTCTGTTTTTTGAAGGGTGGTCCTTGAGGGTTAAAGCAAGGCACGGTGGTTTGCTCCTTGGTGACTCCTGCTCTGTGTGTTCCTTCAGGCATCTGTAAGAGAGATATGGCTCCTCCAGCACATGAAACATCCAGCCTCATCACGAAGTTACCAGGAACTTCAGGTAGATTTCTTTCAGTCTCTACTCCTAAGACTTCCCTTTTGCATTCAAAGGGGGAAAAAAATCAATGAACCTAGTGAAAAATCAAAGATCAGCTCTGCACCCTAGGAGCACCAAGTACACCTCAGCTATGGAAGAGACAACTTTGTGTTCTGGTTGCTTATCCTGAGCGAATGTTGAATTACTCCTCCATGAAGGTGTTTCACTTAGAAGAAGAGACAAGGCATCATCCTGAATGTCCAATTTTCAAGACACTTCTTTACAGCCAGGTTAATGGAGATTGGGCTCTTTATTCATGGAACTGGAACAGACTCCCTGCGGATAATTTACGACGAGTGCCTCCCCCGTGCCTTACTAGCTACATTAGGTACCTTACCAGACTCCATGAATGCCCTTTTTCAGGTGTAAATTGTATGAGCAGCCTGAGCTCATCAACTTGAAGAGTTTATGTGGGTGATTCCCTGTCAGGAGGCTGTACTGCTTCCTATTGATGGAGACATCCAGCAAGGGGAGGATGCTAGGGGAGGAAATATGGATATACATTACCAAATTATTGCATGATAAGATCACAGCACGCAAAAGCTACTGCAGTGTATAAATGAATATCCTGCTAGGTAGACACCCTGTGCCTTGTACCGCTTACAGACCCAAATGCTGTTTTTCCTAGCTGCTCCCCAGGTACAGAAGGCTTACCTCTGCCACTGAACACCCTGCAAAAGATTATTGTGTTTAAATAACACTCCCGAGCAGGTGTCCTGTGGTTTCTAGCAGTAACAATTTGCATTCTTTTCTCCTTTTTTTTTTTTTTCCACGTATCAAATACAAAATTCACCTGAGTTGGTTACCGAGGGCTTCAGAATTTTTTTCTTCTGTATTTCAGTTGTCTCTTTATTTATGGAGATAATGGAGAAAGAAGGCAGATAAATCTCACATTGCTACAAAAACTTGAGGTACTCTTGAGATTCTTCTTTCCTCGAGCTTCTTTCCAACAAAAAATGCCTTCATCCTCCTATCATTGATTTTTTTTTTTTTTTTTGGCCTGTACACTGCCTGTAACAAAAACTCTAAACCCAGTACTGGAACCTCAGAGAAGTGGCCACATTAAGTAATGGAGCAAATGGTGAGGGAAGTTTCCAGTGCAAAGCTGAGATTGAACTTTCAGTCCAAAACCTCTCATTATGGCACGTCAGTAGAGGAAGTCCTGTGCAACTGGCAAGGTTTCCTTGGTGTGTGCATTTCTCGCTGTCCCCGTCTTTCCTTAACATCTGGAATTACCTCTTACGCCTAAGCTTGGGGAAATGTATCATATTTCCTAGCATTATGAATGTTCTCGTTACCTAGAAGCTATTCCATTTTCTAAATCAAATTCCATCCTAATCTAGTAATGGGAGGAGGCTCTGCATCCACCAGAGCATAGTACACAAACCACAGCATGTTGTCAGCAATGACATTCAAGCTGTGCTCTGCTCTCTTGTTTAGTCTGGCAAACTTGTAGTACCCTTTCAGAGGCAGCAAGAATTTAGACTAGATGGGAACAGACCAAGGATGAAGGTAGATGGAAGCGCAGGAGGAAGCTACACGCAGACTGGGGTGGAGAGTTGCTTCTCACAGACAGGGAAGGGATATATTTTTTTGTCTCTGCAGCACCACTTCATGAAGTTCACCTATGGGTTTGTGTATCTGATTTACACTGCAGAAATTATCCCATGTCTGGACTGCTGAGAGACGTGAACTAGCAGGCAATGGGGGAGCTCACACACCTGAAATTTTGGCAACAAGCTCATTTGAATCCAGTTTTCTCATCAGCCAAATAATTAGTGGCTGGCTCCACATAGTGGTTTGTCATGTAATTCCACTGAGTAGGGCTTTGGCATTTGGTATTTTCTCTCTCAGAACAGCACTGTGCTATTTTTCCAGTGAGGTGCCATTTGCAAGCCTGAACAGCCCAGCAGCCTTTGCAGGAGAACAGGGAAAGCCAGCTGGAGCCCTTCTGGCCACTGCCAGTCCCATTCGTGGCTGGAGAGATGAGATGAGGGGTTGGAAAGGTGCTTGTGCCCTAGTGCACATCAGTGAGTGTGGCATTGGGTGTCTGCAGAGATAAGGAGAGTATCCACTGGGGAGTTTGACTCGACATAACCTTA